TGCAGCAATTTTTTTTTTTGCCCAAGCATGTACAGTCATCATGCTTCTGAACAGCTCCAACTGTCTCAGCTCAGCTTCACTGAACTTCCTGTACAGTACAAGACCACAACGGACAGAGCATTCTCCAACAGATGTCCATCTATTAGCTTAAAGAATGGGAAGGGAGAAGCAGGGAACAGTGGAGTGGCTTGCCTTGCTGTATCTGTGTATTTGTGGAAAAACATACAGCTTACTAGCACACACAAGGGTGGCTAACAAAGTGCAAACAAGTAGAGAGTCAATAACAGGTTATCAATCTAATATGAAGCTGAGGCCTCAGTTTTGCCCTCACCTACCTAGACGCCAATGCACATTACAATTACTTGCATTCACAGCCCCACCTCATTAAGTTGAGAAATAGGAGTGCTCTGCAGAAATAGGGCTCAGTTACCTATGGGACCCCAAGTTTATACCTACCTTATTTACTGATTTTACTGCCCTAATTTTAATTTGCTGCAGATGGTGTCAATCTGTTAATCTCATGCTATTAAATGATTAAACAACTCATGTGTTTTTTTTATAAATTGGATACTTCCAGTGGAATCAATATCATGTTGTATCATGCATTTGTTTCTCTAAAATGATAACCTCATTGTAGCCACTACAAAAGGGTAGTTTCTGTTTTAGTTTGAAGGAAACCTTCAATCAAAGCTGAATGCTAGGGAAATATAAAATACACATATTAATGCAGTTATGTATGAAATAATAAATCATTACATTTATTTTTTAAATGCAATGAATATACACTAAGTGCCTGCATTTGACTTAGTATTATCCTCTTGTAACCCCAGTACACAGCAGCACTTAGATGGATTAGAAGGCAATCAGTTGTAGTTTATGCAAATATGCTGACAAGGAACATACTGTGAGTAGACGGCCTCATCAGAAATCTTCTGCTTTTTAACACTTTAACAAAAACTATACAAATTCCACGGTGCTTCATGCAAAATCAGGATATCTAAATGAATGTTTCAAATGGAACCAGGTCTAATATAAATTCAATGTCATGCTTTCTAATGGTTGGCAGCTCTTATTGCAGACACAGTGGTCTGATAAAACTGAGTGTACTGGCCTGCTGAAGCATGTTTTCACATTTATTTCAACCAAAACATACTGTTTTGGTTGAAATACTGGTAAGATGGCATGCAATCAAAAGACTCCACAAACCAACAGACAGAAGAGCACATAAAAGTTCCAAGAGTTTGGATCCCTGACATTCATACATAGTAGTGAACGGCAAGTACTGTAATGGCTAATGCGCTTCTTGGGTCCTACCCCCTACCGCCAATACATTTTTATCAAATCAAGTTATGACCACTAGCGATTTTTTTGGTGTAAGGGCCCATACACATTTATTATGTTTCATTTACATTTACCCTTTGTTACCACAACCTAAATATACATGGTCATGAAATGTATTTTAATTGGCACCCGAACACTCTAAAACAATAGCGGGAAACACATTTGCACTACAATGCATCACAATGCACAAATTGTGTATTGTGGAGTGCTGCATTAAACAGTTGAGTCTTACTAATTTGGCTGTGTTGTGATGTATTGGCAGCCTTTACAAAATGACCCAACACAGCAATAAAATGTAAATAGGCCCAAAATGTAAACTCTAACATGTACTGAACCTGTTATATTAATTACCGCCATTGCATTTTAGCTGGTGTATTCTTGCATAGATCACATAGTCTGGGTCCTATAAATAAACAGAAATCCGGTTTTGTAAGCAAGCTTTGGAGTTACCAGGACAAAATCCCATGTGGATCATTAGCTTTTCTGCCGGAAGTGTATTCCGAAAAATGAAAGCAGACACAGATAAGCTGCTGTTCCTATGGCTTACTGCTGTTTATATAATTTACCTAACGTTCTTCTTAGCCACGTCCAGATGGGGACTGTAGTAAAGCATCTTTTTCTGGGAGTGTGTGCTTACATATAACTGCTCAAAAAACAGTGAAGATAAAGGTTCTAAAATAAAATATTGACTAATAAGTACTTATATCTAAGCAAACAGCATTTAATTGAATATAAAAATCCAATAAAGGTAATGCAGTGAGTAAATCAGAAGCTAATTATCTGACTACAGTATATTCGATGACTTCAATTAAAGACTTTCATTTACACTAATTTCTACTAATTTGTTTTGCTCCTTAAATTCTGCTCGAGCAACTGAATTTTCTGCATTGTCAATTCACATTCTGGTTGCTTGTCTGCAAGATCTGGCATCTCCCGCTGTGTGGAAGAAATTTACAGGATGCCAAAATGTAATCCCTTAACTTGTTTTTTCCATGTCACGGCACTGGAACATGAGTGATAAAACCGTGCCAATATATCCTTGTTATTGAAATGAAAAACCTTTCCTCGTATAATCACAAAACACGCTCATATATATGCATAATACAGATCAAATTAATGAGACAAATATGAATTAGCTCATCTATAGTAATTCTTTATATAACCACTAAATCCTTTCCTGAATGTCAGTAACAAGACGATTTAAATGTCATTAATCTAGGTAAGAAGCCAGCTTTTGGTGTGTTCATCTGGCAGGACACAGAAAATTGGTACCCAAAAATAAGATATTCATCTTTTGTTTCTCTAGTTACCATGGCAATGGTTTTCGATGGTTATCAACTGGTTTCCATAGCAACTAATTGAATGGCTGCTAACAACATTGCTGCTCTGATACAGAGTAAGACAGATTTGTAGTTTTTATGTAAGTCTATAGGAAAACATGTTTATGTTGGTTAAAACTTTAACGGACACATCTTTACTATTTCTATAAATAAAAAAAATGGGCCAGTGCTAGCACGTAAGAGTTGGCGAGCAGAAGGGTAAGAGAGCACAAGATTGTTAATATTTCTTCTATTTACAAATTATTTTTTTACTGTTCATTTTCCATGTTGCACCATCCAGAGGAAGAACAAATTAAGACTGAGCCTTCTGTGTGTGCCCATATATTGTACATTATCAGTATGATGAATAGGTGTTTCACAATGCTGCATATGGATTGTCCTTTACTGTAATGCAGAAGGTATTGCCAGTTACTAGTGGGTAATCTTAACTCAACAAAACATTGATATGCATTTCATCTGCCTATTTTAGTTGACCTGAATGGCAACATGTCACAGCAAAAATATTGCTGTTGCTGATTTGTATATAAAGGTGCACATTCTAAAATTCACTATTTTCATCCAAAATTATCCTGCACAATTTTTGACAATGCACTATATGATAAGGCAAAGGGTCACACCGCTATAGTACAGGTTTGTTTTCCTTACTGCATACATTATTGGGGGTTTTGTTAAAACAAAAAAATGGCAATGTACTATTCCTGTGCATCATCATGTGTTGCGGTAGCGTGCTTTGTCAATATGAAATGTGTAAATGGGCCCTCAAAAGCAAATCAGTGATAGAAATGTCTATATTTTTAGCCTAATCACTCAAGCAATACAAATGGCAAACACACTTTTTAACTCATAACCAGCTTTAAAGCAAGGTGCACATGGAAGGGCTTTATACAGTACAACAGCAAAAAGTTTCCCAGCCCACTCACCAGCCAGCATGCAAAAAAACTAGTCTACCACTAAGGTTAAAAACAGAGGTTTAGATACACGTCTTCTGCAGAATATGTGAAAGCCACACCGCCTCACCAAGGCACCTCTATATAGTGCGGTACTAACTCTAATCTATGAGAGTCTCCATCTTGGCGCACATGTAGCAAAACAATTTTATCTTTTGCTACATGTGCTCCAAGATGGAGACTGTCATAGATTAGAGTTAGGACCACACTATATAGAGGTGCCTTTGCTGTATTTTTAACCTGCCATGTTCCTTTACAGTACAATCTTCTATCACTAAAGATCTGTCTGCATGACAGCAATGACCATACACAGCAATAAAATGAACAAGTTTGAGTGTATGAGACTTGCTAGCAGTCAAGAGATCTGTGAGCATCCTCGAACATGTGCTCCAGCATCCAGAATTTCAGATGACAGATCGGAATATCACCCTCTATATCAAGAACATTCAGGACAGTCAAAAGAAATCCAGAAATACTGGCATGCCAAGAGCAGACAGTTTTAGGTAATCTAGGAATAAAAGCATGCCAAGATGGCACAGTAATGGATAGATGGGCATTTCATTAGTTTTACACTGCTTCATTTCAGTGCAGCATTGCAGAAATGTATAAATATAGCATGTTAGTGATCTCCCATATACTAATCTAGATTCCTGAAAGTAGAGAACCTCATTAACTGTGTCTTTTTACCCGACGTGACCCCATCTTTTATATTTTACCAAAAAATTGGGTAATAATAAATGTTTTATCATTTAATATAGGGGAAACTGTTTTTTTTTTAAAATTTCGGTAATTTTTCCTTAATATAGTAAAAAAATTAAACCCCCAGTGGTGAATAAATACCACCAAAAGAAAGCTCTATCTGTCCCCAAAAAAGGGTATAAAATTCATTTCAGTACAGCGCTGCATGACGGAATAAATGTCAGTCAAAGTACCGCAGCGCTGAATACTGAAAAATGGCCTGGATGGGAAGGGGGTTTAACACCGCGGATGTCAACTGGTTAATATATTGAAGTGTCCATTATACCAACCTAATGTAACCAACAATTTTTGACTCAACAAAGGCAAACTACCTTAGATGAATGCCATAAGCGGCATAGATGTTCTCTCATCTCTGAGCACCTCATTGCTTAAACGGAGCAGTAAGATAGAACATGATTTTGACAGATGTGTTTCTTTTATTTTCTAGGTACTGTCTGTGATGAAAGCCCAACACACTGTTCTTCTCCTCCATGTAAATATGACGAGTTGTGCACATCTTTGATAGGCTGTGCGGACTCATCTGATCCCTGCCTATCAAATCCTTGTCCAAATAATGCCACATGCCAGGTTACCCTTGATACAGGAACTTATGAATGCCGCTGTCAAGCAGGATTCAAGGGAAAAAACTGTGAAATTGCTATGAGGAGATGCCACAGGACCCTTTGTAGCCATGGAGGACTGTGCTATGTGACAGACAGAGGTTCCACATGCTTTTGTCCTGTTGGATATAAGGGGACATTCTGTGAAACCCCAGAAGATGAGTGCCTTTGGAACCCCTGCCAAAATGGGGCTGTGTGCAGGGAAAGGGGAAATGGACAAGCATGTTATTGTGTTCCTGGATTTCAAGGAGCGTTATGTAATATTGAAGTTGATGAATGTATTTCTAATCCCTGCCAACATGGAGGTTCATGCCTTAATGAGATTGGAAGATATACTTGTGTTTGTCCATCACAGTTCACAGGTAAATATAACCACATTCTATAATACTGAAGGAAATCTGCAATCCTAACTTTGCAACCTTTACAGTTCAATAACCACATTAATCAGTAAGTGATTTGTTGTTATTAGTTTGACATAGGAATATTTAAAGTGTATGTAAACCTTACTAATGAATTCACTTATTTGCTCCCTTTTGGTCTGTTTAAATATAGCAGCTTTTTAAAAAATCTGTTTTATAAGTGCAAAAAAAATCTTTTGATTTGTAACTTTTGTGAGCTGATAACTGTCCCAGCTATCTTTGAAGAATACTCCCTTTATGTTATAGGGATAAATATAGAGGGGGATGTATTCTGTAGTTCTAACACACTTCCTGTCCTAAAGTGACAGTTATTCTATTGATACAGTACGGTGAGTGAATATTTTCACGCTAGGACGGGAAGTGCGTTACTGGCCAGATCACCAAGTGTAAATACAATTTAAAAAAGCCAAAAAAGAAAACAAAAGCAGCCGCTATATCAAAGGACTGGTAAGCCACAATATATTACATTGTGTTCTTGAATTTGAGCCAAGATAATGTCTGAGCATGGGCATAACTACAGATCATGGAGCTCCGTAGCAAAATTTTGGTGGGCCCCCGTGATGACCTCTCATTATGGCATCTGGCAGTGTTAACTGTTAAAATATTGTCATTGATAGTTGGCATAAAGTATGCCTAAATCAAGGACAGAAGAGCTGTAAACATAGTCAATCCATTTTTTGGGACCATTGCTGTGCATATAAGTTATCAGGAAAGAGAAGAGGAGCATCGCAGATCTCAGTACATTAGTGTAAATTTTAAGCCCCCCATCCCTACCACCGCTACAATGAGCAAGTGCTGAAAGAGGTGCACTAGTAATCAGTAAATTAAAAAACGAAAACCCACAAGAGTTGCAGTAGCAATAATAGTAACAGCTCACAACCACAATATTGTACATTATTTTTAATGCTCCTGCACACAATCACTCTCTAACCCTCATACAATCTTCATTAAACTGTCTTTTTTGTAAGAACTACAAACCTCAGCTGTCTTTATCATTTTTTTTACAGCTTGAGAAAGATTGCATTGGGCATACAGGGTTAGTTGAAGCACTAACTAGAAGCAGAAGCTCAGAGGACAATAAATCAAGACAGCTAAGCAAATGCTCCTAACTGAACAGAGAAAGTGATGTGTAATTAGTGACCGTTCTGAAGGCTCCTCCAGCTCCTCTAGAATGAAGACTACTCTAGGGCACAGGGTCATTGTCAACGGCAACCTAATACACTAATATCTTTGCATGCACACAATCAACAACCTCCCTAGTGGGGCTCCTGTCCCACCCCAGATCCCATAGCAGCTACATGGGGTGCTATTGCTCTTGTTAGGTCAATGTGCATCAGGGGTGTGCTAAGGTATGGTGTCACGGGCGTGATGAAGTCAGGTGCCGTTACCTGCCGGCAGCCATCTAGAAGAGAGAGGAGGCGACGTTCACCCGGCGGTATGAGGTATGCCGCCGGTTCCCCTCCTCTCTCGTGCAACTGTCGGGCTCTCTGTCCCTGACCGAGTGGCTAACTTTTCAGGAGATGGTGACACCAAAATGACAGTCATTTTGGTGTCACCCCCTCCAATGGTGTCACCCGGTGCGGACCGCACCCCCCCTAGTGACGCCACTGATGTGCATGAACAAATATGGTGCTGCCCTTGTTGGTTTTTTGGCTCCTCACCTTTTTGACATATTTTGTAGGAATATGGTAAAAGTGTCAAATGTAGTCTAACTTTTTTTTTTTAACTGCTACTTACATGATTTGTTTCTCTGGACTATGTACATGTATGTTTATCAGGTGCTCTGCTAGAATTCTCTTTGTTGAATTATAACAATTGTAAAAATCTTGTTTTATGTTCTTAAAAGGACTTTAGAGCTTAGAGATAAACACACTAGATTTCACAGGACATCCTAACTACCTCCTTTTTTATTTGCCCAAGGTGAAGATAATACATTGATATGGTATTAACTAGATTTTTTGCTTTTTTTTGGAAGTCAAGGCTGATGTCAGACAGATGCTTATAAAGCTGCATTTTTTTCTCCGACTGTGCTGATGAGATCTGTATTGGATTGGCATAGTTAAGAAGGAGGATTGCTTTTCCTCTAATGAGAATGGGAGAAAGTGATCCACTACAGAAACTGTTGCAGAAGTAAAGCTACAGAAGTATTAGACTCAGCGGGAGAAAAGACACTGCAGTTTTCACCTGCCATCATCCTAAAAGAAGAAGCAAAGTGTATATTTTTATATTTCCTTTTAAATATGTTTTTTTCAGTATCACTTACAATGGACCTCAATAAACTTCACTCTTTTTGCTTTGGGAAAGGAGTACCTGTTTCTTGGCTAGGAAAAAATAAAAAAAACCTCTGCTTCTAAACTCACACATGTGACCTCAAGCCCAGGCAGTGTGGACCACATTGGTGGTGTTTCATGTCATTTAAAACTGCAGAGAGTTTGATGTTTTGACCTTGTATTTGGTAGAACTCCATTGAGATATCAGCAAGGCACAACCATGAGGGCCCATTGACATTTGTGCTGTGCCTTTACACACATTATGTCGTGCATTGATGCGCACTGCATTGGTGCAGCACATTACGCTTGCATTGGCTACTAACACAATCTCTAGTGTGTTTGAAATTTAAAAATTAACCTTTTTTTGTAACCCAATATACAACACCCATTTTTAATGAGCAGTAAATTATTGAAAACAAGCCCTCATTGACTTCTGTAGCTGCAGCCACTGCAGAGCAATTTGTCAAAGTTCACAGTAGAAGCACTGAAGTCACTCGGGTCATTTTCTCAGGCCGCTTAGCTCTCTCTTCTCCCTCTTCAAGTAGCAACTCAATAACTTTCAGCCTTCTAATCTCTAATGTAAGCACCGAGCAAGAGCTCTGAGGAGGGGCAAGGTGAGCTAACATGCTAAGAGAATGATTGATCAACGTCAATGCTGTAAAATTTGAAGGTGAATTGCTCCACAGCGTCTGCAGGTACAGAGGCCAGTGAAGCCTTGATTTGAAGCTCATTTTCTTGCCACAAATATGTAAATTTGAAATTGTTCATAGCCTGGCCACAGGTTCAGTTTAAGTTGGAGAGCTGGCTAGACCTGTAAAGATTCTGCTACAAGGTTTATTCGTAATGTGTATTGATAATATCCACCAGTACTGTGAATGTTTAATGGGTGTGTTCAGTAAAAACACAAGAAATTAGAATAGTTTGTGTGTTAACAGTTTAAGCACAATGGAGGGGAATTTCTCAAAACTAGAGCAGACAGAATCTGGAGCACTTGCCCATTGCAACCAATCAGTTTCTCTTTTCAGTTTGTTCAGTTAAGATTTGGAAATGAAAGAGAGAAGCTTTTCAAAGATAAACACACGTAAACACAACATGCAGTTTTTAAAGGAAGGTTTTTATTAAAGGAAAACAAAATCCAAACCCACATGGCCCTGTGTGAAAAAGTGTTTGCCACCTAAAACGAATAACTGGTTGGGCCACCCTTAGCAGCAAGAACTGCAATCAAGCTTATGCGATGCAATGAGTCTGTTACAGCGCTGTGCAGGAATTTTGGTCCACTCATCTTTGCAGAATTGTTGTAATTCAGCCACATTGGAAGGTTTTCGAGCATGAACCGCCTTTTTTAAGGTCATGCCAACAGCATCTCAATAGGATTCAGGCCAGGACTTTGACTAGGCCACTCCAAAGTCTTCATTTTGTTTTTCTTCAGCCATTCAGAGGTGGACTTGCTTGTGTGTTTTGGATAATTGTCCTGCTGCAGAACCCAAGTTCGCTTCAGCTTGAGGTCACGAACAGATGGCCGCACATTATCCTTCAGGATTTTTTGGTAGACAGCAGAATTCATGGTTCCATTTATCACAGCAAGTCTTCCAGGTCCTGAAGCAGCAAAACAGCCCCAGACCATCACACTACCACCACCATATTTTACTGTTGGTATGATGTTCTGTTTCTGAAATGCGGTGCTACTCTTACGCCAGATGTAATGGGACACACACCTTTCGAAAAGTTTAACTTTTGTCTCGTCAGTCCACAGAGTATTTTCCCAAAAGTCTTGGATCATCAAGATGTTTTCTGGCATAACGGAGACGAGCTTTTATGTTCTTTTTGCTCAGCAGCGGTTTTCGTCTTGGAACTCTGCCATGCAGGCCATTTTTGCTGAGTCTCTTTCTTATGGTGGAGTCATGAACACTGACCTGAACTGAGGCAAGTGGATGATATTGCGGGGTCTTCTGTGACATCTTGGATGAGTCGTCGCTGCGCTCTTGGGGTAATTTTGGTTGGCCGCCCACTCCTGGGAAGGTTCACCACTGTTCCATGTTTTCGCCATTTGTGGATAATGGCTCTCACTGTGGTTCGCTGGAGTCCCAAAGCTTTAGAAATGGCTTTATAACCTTTTCCAGACTGATGGATCTCAATTACTTTCTTTCTCATTTGTTCCTGGATTTCTTTGGATCTCGGCATGATGTGTAGCTTTTGAGGATCTTTTGGTCTACTTCACTTTGTCAGTCAAGTCTTATTTAACTGATTTCTTGATTGCGAACAGGTGTGGCAGTAATCAGGCCTGGGTGTGGCTAGAGAAATCGAACTCAGGTGTGATAAACCAGATATAAGTTATGTTTTAACAGGGGGGTGCAAACACTTTCACACAGGGCCATGTGGGTTTGGATTTTGTTTTCCCTTAATAATAAAAACCTTCCTTTTTTAAAAACTGCATGTTGTGTTTACTTGTGTTTTTATCTTTGACTAATATTTAAATTTGTTTGATGATCTGATCTGAAACATTAAAGTGTGACAAACGTGCAAAACAATGAAAAATCAGGAAGGGGGCCAATACCTTTTCACACAACTGTATACTGTGTATATCACTAAATTATTCTTGTTTTTTTAAAGGCAGAGATTGTGAGGTGGAGTTTGATGAGTGCTCATCAGGCCCCTGTCTGAATGGAGCTACCTGCTATGACCTGCTGGGATCTTTTTCATGTACGTGCCCAGCTGGCTTCTCTGGGGATCTCTGCAACATTAACATAAATGAGTGCGAGAGTTCTCCATGCCTTAATGGTGGACTCTGTGTCGATAAGAATAACGGGTGAGTAATGTCTTTCATTATATATTCATTGTACAAAATATCTTCGTTCTGAAGAACAGACAGCATGTGTCCAGTTTATTATTGTGTGACGTTTTATAGGTATCAATGTAACTGCATGGTAGGATACACTGGTGCAAACTGTGAAGTCTCCGCGTCCTTGTGCTCATCACAGCCCTGTCAAAATAATGCAACATGTATAGAGGATTCTGTGAGCTTCAAATGTCTCTGCTGGCCAGGTAACCTTTGGTGACCCATACTTTTGTTAATCAGCCTTTTTTATAGCTACAGCTCTGAATATAATGCAATGAATAGAATACTGTTCATGGGTGTCCAGTATAATAAATTTGCATGCAAAAGGAATGTATGATGTAAAAATCTTAATATCTTTGGAATATTGTCTTCAAAAATACGAATGTTTTACTTTAGATTTCTTTGTTGCTTATCAGAAAATGAGGTCTGACTAACTATAACTAGGGATAACCGAATCTGTCCAGGTTTGGTTTCCAAACATTTTCGCAAATCTTGCTTAAAATTCAAAGTTCACAAACTTTGTAGCAACCTCAATTGAATTGTTAGTCAATTATGGCCATTTGTAGGACTAAAAAGCATGCTAGTGTCAAACTAAAGGCATGGTAAGCCAGTCACTGCCACGGGGGACAATGCCAAAATATGAGGCCTTTTTATAAAACTTTGAGGGAGACATTGGAAACGCATAAATCCTTTCAATTACAGGCTTAGCTCATGCTATAAGGGACTGCATACTCTGGCAGTGCATATTTGACTGGGGAAGTGATTTTTTTCCTTTCTTCTATGAGCAATGAGCTTGGCTTACAAACAGCAGCAGCCACAACAAATCTGAAAGCAAAGCTATAGGGAGATATTGTCTTTATAAATACAGCTAAAACAGGTGTAGCTTGGTAAAACAATGGCCAATGGCACAACAGTTCTATGGCATAGCTTGTCTGCTACTTTTTATTAAAGCACCACACTGCATCATCTTAATATGTTAAAGCGAGGCCTGCCTGTCATAGTATTTTTTTGAGGTTAATGCAAAGCCTAGTTTTTAATTATACTATGGCAATAGGCCATGTGGTGCTCTGATGCACACTAGTAAGTGCACACAAGTGTATGCATACTCTAAACTTTAAAAAAAGGACCTAGCAACACATAATAAAATATATCCCCCCCTCCCCCCAAAAAAAAAATATATCAACCCTAAAGAACTAAAAGCCTAATATACTGTGTATATATATAGTGAAGCACTGGCTGCCAGGATTGTGGTCGGAGTGTATGTGTCACCTAGGTTTCTTACTAGGCATACACCGGGTTTTCGGTATCAAGTACTGATATTTTTTTTCAGTACTCGCCAATACCGAATACCAATACCGTAAGTCCCATTAAGGAAGCCGGGAAGGCTGATTATCACCAGGTGACGAGGAACCATGGAGCCGACTTTCTGGCCAATCGGGTAGCCAGGGAACGGGTAGCTTCCCGCCAATCAGGAAGTCGGGCAGCATGTAACGACTCAAACAATAAGGCCTCATTGGCACTGCATAAACTCGGGCCATACACATCCGTGTGGTGTGCATGCCCATATTGGGCAGTTCCCGGGAGGGACAGGTGCTGCGTGTGGTACGCTGTCATACGCACACCCGGACTGCACATCCGTGCGGGTCCAGGTGTATGTGCTCGGACGTAGAAAGGATCCATCCTATCTGCGTCCGAGTATGGACACTCGGACCCGCATGGATGTGCAGTTCGGGTGTGCGTATGGTCGCGTCCTACCATAGGGAAGAACAGGCTGCTACACGCAGCACCTGTCCCTCCCGGGAAGGGCCCGATAGGGGCGTGCGTGCCGCACGGACGTGTACAGCTTGAGTTTACGCAGTGTGAATGCTTAGTACCCAAGCTGGCTACAGCCTAGCTGCAAACACTAAATTTAAACTAGGGACACTCAAGCCCTTAGGCAGGGCAAAATAGTAAAAAAAGAAAATAATTAAATGAAAGAAGAAAACGACCCCAATAAATCATAACAGAAACACAAAAATGCTGCAAAGGGTGGGCCAAGCAGCTAGCTGAACAGTACATTTGTTGCTGATACAAGAAAAAAAAGCAGTCCTAGGAAGAACTGTTGGGTCTATAGAACTGTGAAAACAGAGAGGGGTAGCAAAAGATATGTAGCCAACCACTGCAATCCACAGTATAGCACAGCACCTCTCCCTGACAACACAAACGGTGTGGCTGTTAAAAGCCCACCCTTTTATAGTGAGGAGGCTGAGTTATCCATTACTTTAGATTATTGGCTCTTGTGACTCAGCTGACCACTGCATTATGCTTTGGTCCTTATTTCTGGCCATGAACTTGCAAAATCTTCGGCCAAAAGTTTGCAATTTGCAAATCCAGAGGAACTCTGCTACCTATGGTAGTGGGGAATCCAAAACTCACCCCTACATATAACATCCCACATACTCTCCCAAGTAACTGCATCAACCCTTAGAAAACTAGGGATTGACAGGACCTGTTTATATGACTAGAGGAATGTGGTGAACTCCATACAATATCTTACCCTCAATGTTTAAATGCCAAAGATGGTGACATAGAAAAGTGTCATAGTCATAGAAAAGAGTATGGATCACAAGCACATCATGCACTCTGTCATGCTTCTTTATAAGTCACAGAAATACAGCTAAATTTTGGAGCTGTTGATAGAGCCCTTTAACCAGGCAACCATGACCTCACTATTGCCTGATGAAGGGACTGCATTAGGTGCTCCAAAATGTAGGTGTGTTAATATGACTAAAATGTAATTTGAAGGAGCATATGAAGTGATGGTGTTGCACACTCTTACAGGTCCTCTTTATAAACTTCTTGCATCTCTTTGCTATGAGCTACAAATGAAGACCACAAACAAGTGTCTCCAATCTCCTTGTCACCCAGGCATTTAATGCCACAATGACAATGATTCCAGAGGTGCTCAGAACTAAGTCTTTACCAATGTGTGGATTTTATATTTACAGTATTTCAGCAATTCTCATACAATCTCAGATTAGGAAGTAGAAAAATATGTAATCATAGTTTTAGTATATTTCACTGTGCAAATGTGACTTAGACAACTAATCCTGAAATAAAAATAACTACTGCTGTTACAGGGTACACAGGTCCTCTATGTGAGACAGATGTTCACAAGTGCAAAAGCCAGCCTTGTAAATTTGGCATGGAGTGTGTGGAGCTTCCATGGTTCAATGGATCTGTTAGAGACACAAGAGATGAAGAACAGTTTTCTGGCTACATTTGTAAGTGTGGCAGAGGATTATCTGGTATGTATTTTTACAGAATAAAACAGCAATGTATCATTTGTATATTTTTATTCAGTTTCTTACTAGTGCTCTAGTTTCTACTCACAATGTTAAAATATTGATAGGCTAATTGGCTTCCACCCATAATTGCCATACTTTACTGTGTACTGTGGTAGGGAGCTTAGATGGTATACTCCTTGTGGGTACCAACCTTTTTTAGGAAGCATTTGGGTAATTCAATGTAGTTTCCTCTTACCAATAATTTAACCAACAGCGCTCACTGGAACATCCACCTACTCAGATTTGTTTAAAATGTGTATTAGAGGTCCTTTTTAAAAATTGCAGTTAACAATTGTCATCTGACTTACCTGTAAAAATGGAGCTATTATACCTGGACAAATTGACCGGAGTTTCTTCTGAACACTGTGCAAAGTTGATGATTCACAATTTACCCATGAAGGCGTAAAATCTGTTATTGTTGCTAAATGTGGCTCTAGCAAAGTTTAAAGTGAATATATAGTAGTTCTTTCTAGTAGTTTACTTTTAATGTGTGGCAATTCAAAACATATGCAAAATTGAATAGCAAGACATTTCACATGGCTTTACATTATCACTTGATTATAGGTCAAAGTTAAAAAAAATCCAACTCAAAAAAAAGTTTTGGTGCTTTGAAAAAAAGGAAGTTTTAATGATTTTTGTGCTACGTTAAAAAGTAAAAAATATTCAAATATGGCATTCAATACAATATCAGATATGAGGATAGTAAATGAGAACATAAACACACACATGACTAGAAACCATTTGCAACTACATTTTTGGACAGCAGCTGGTTGTTATTTCTGTGGAGGACCCAGTCCACTTCTGAGAGGCCCATAACCTTTAGCCATGTCACAAGTTGCTAAGATCTATGTGTGAGCCTACTCAAAACAGTCCTGCTTTCAGTGTGTGAGTGCACTGCACACAAAGATTCCAAAAGCTGAAAACTATAATGTTGCTGACTGCTGAGGATTTTGAATCTATGTCCTGCTAAGACATCAGATATACTTCACAAAAGAGTTGCTCTGTGAGTTTTAAGTAATGGAATATAAGTTTGCCAGGAACTGGGGGTCTAGCAAAGTCATATTAACTCTTCCTGCACTCTTACTAATACTCGAAAAGCAATGCTCTTAAATAACACCTATCCCCTCTGACATGAACAAATAATGCTGTATACCTAATGCTGAAGTGTGGGCAAAAACTTTATTGAGGCATTAGCTAGGTACCAAGAAGGTCCTTCTAATGATATGTGCCCCACTGGTGACTGATGCTTCTTTCTTGAAAAATGTTAGTTACATGCAATTTCCTGGCAGTAACTGCTGAAGTTAAATCACTCAGGACTGGAGCATAGTGATCACAGCAGATAGTTTGCTCTGCAGCTCCTCCTTTCATAAAATGTCTTGTATTCCCTTCAAAGAATAGAAGACATTCTGCGATTGGACAAGGAGCATATGAACCTCACAATCTTCCTTGCCCAATCACAGAACACCTTGTATTAACACTAAAGTGATAGCCCAGCCTTCAGCTTTAAGCAGTCTATAGACATACAGAAATACCACCTAAATTTTCCAACTCATACATACTGTTTAAGAATTACTAGGAGAACGAGGTACAAACACTCAGCGATCAGTGATTTTAAATAATTGAGGACATGGTATGTGTACTATATCCTCAATTATGAATGAATGGGAAGTGATCTATATCACCTCCTGTTCATTCATGATTGTGAACATGGTAAACATAGTATCTCCACAAGTTATGAATGAACAGGAACACTCAATATAGAGGATTCCTGTTCATTTATAACAGGAGATGCAGAAAAAGAAATTGAGGGCTCTGTGTTCTCAATCCCTTTTTTCTATTTTAGATGGGTAATATCAGGCGTCTGTTTAGATCCCTAATATTTCCCCAAAGCCCCCAACAATAAAGTAAAAAATAAAAGATATTTGATAAAAAATAAATAAAAATAAAATATAACTAAAAAGTTTATGAAAAATAAATAAGAATAAAATATTTTGAAAAAGTTAGAATTTTTTTCTTTTTTGTTTCCTTTCGGTTTTGAAGTTTTCATTTCGGTGCACCTCTAGTAAGTATACACAGTAATTTGTACCTGGTTTTATACCAGCTTTTGACTGGATTCACATCACACCACACTGTGTCCCGGACCACTATGCTGAAAAAAAAAAAGTACTGCATGCAGTACTTTTTTTTTTCAGTGCACACCACTGCAACCCAGTTGTGTGAGCTGTGCCCATCCGTGACGAGGAAATTTGTCTTGCATTGGGGCTGTGCTGAAAAAAAAAACAACTCATGCAGTCCAAATGCATTTGGTATGAACCAGCCCTTAAGTGTTTCAGATCATGTGTAAAATAACTCCTTTAGAGTCAGTTTCAGGAAATGTTTTAAAAAAGTTCTGAAATGGCCAATCAATTAAAAGCACGCACTTAGATGAGTATGATTATGTGCTTTATAATAAAGCCATGCTGCAGAGTATAAGTCTTTATATTATGCTATGTAGACAGCTTGGTGTAAGATTGCTGCCATCTTGTGGTTAGAATATGCTCAGACAGCTGTCTGTCAATACCAGACCAGCAGGGATTTACAAACTATTATAAATACTGTATATTGTACACGATTTAACTACAGTTTTATACCTTCACTTATAGGCATGCACCATTCTTGTGAAGCAATTAAAATAAATGTTGCTATATGTTTTTTTATTTCTTTGTATTTGTTTCCTGAATAGATAATAGTGTAGCCATGGCAGTGATATATTACAAAATGTAAAACTGCAATCGTGTTTTTTTGCAATTTCAATTAAATGCAAAATATGTATGGGCTTTATCAGCAGGAAGCACAGTAGTGAAAAAAGAGACTGCAGGAGGCACTGCAGGTCCTATATTCCATTTCCAAAAGGGTTCTCTTTTTCAATTACATTTTGGATTCAGTGAGATATACCAAACAAGAGGTTACAGGTTAAAGATGTGAAATAATAATGGATGGAAATAAGTTGAGGCATCATTGATTAAAAAAAAAAGTCTATATATTGTCATTTTTACACATTTATTAAGGGATGTGGTACCCCAGGGACCAACCCTTTTCCTAAGAATATCAACACTTTATCATAATATAAAATATAATTATGGTTATTATTATTATTAGTGCTTGTATAACTTTTCCCCATCACTACTTCCTAGTGACTATGCTGGGGAAAGGTTATAGTTCTCCTGCTGCCTCTCTTTCATACATATTCCATGTTAAGATCAATGGCACATATTGTCACAGTTGACACTGCCAGCAACTACAGAGTTAGCCGGGGGGCCCCACAGTTTTGCTGTGGGTGGATATTTGAAGTTGAAGAGTAGTACATACATTGTATAATATGGCTTACCTTGCCTCTCGCATTCATCTCCACAGTAGTCGCATCTACATACTGGAGCATGGGCACCATAGAAGAAAATGAATGCAGACTGGTACAGCTGGTACACCAGTACTTTAAGATGCTCAAAATTGTCAAGTAGTAAAAATGCTGTGGGGCCATGAAGAAAACATAAAGGCTTTGCTAACCAGTTCTGGACCTTGGGCATACCAGCTAAAAACATCAGCATAGACCATAGGGCATACCTGGTATATCCAGGTCCTCCTCTGCCATCATGGCTCTGGAGTTTTGTTTCGACTGTCAGTTGGAAATGGCTAGCTAGCTTCTCCTTGGCTTTTATTTTTTTTGCAGATTTTTTATTTTTTACTATTCATATTTACCAATTTTTCATTTTATTTTAAATTTTACATGTTCTTTTTTGAAGCTAGCAAATGAAAAAACGACACTGTTCTTCAAGCACCTTGTAGGTTACATGTGGTACAGCATAAGTAAGGATTGTCTAGTTCTGAGTAGTATGACTTGTTCTAATTTCTAGTATGACTTGTTCTAATTTTAAAACTGACACATAACATGAATCAATAGAGCCCCTGTTAACGTTGCTAAATCATATTATTTTTTTTAGAAAGTACCTCTTTCTTGCCATTCCTGATATGATCCCAGCCTATGAAATAACTGCATGTTTTTTGGTTATGAGCAGACATTTTGGTATTTCACATCGTACTAGACTGTATAGAGTTTATTGTTATCAGTCAGCTCAATCCTTTATGTTAGTCTCTCGGTGAGATGATGAATAGGTGGCATTGTATAGTACCACTAAGAGGGAGGGAAGGAAGCCACACAAATCTATTTTTTTTTATTTAAGAAGCTATGTGTACCTCAGTCTTTTAAAGTAGGGCTTTTTGGTTCCTTGATTTAGCATTTGCCTGACACTTAAGTACTTTGATTTCATTCTTTGTCAGCTTAAAGCATTGGGGCAAATTCAAGGTCTACAACCTCAGGTGGTCACACTGTAAAACTCATAATTCCTCCCAGGAGTACATGAGTAAAGGGATCCCAAAGAAAGCATAAAATAGCATCATAACTCTTTTGTTACTGTCTGTGTTTCCCCTCACTTCCTGTTCCAGGGACAGAGGATAGGAAATGATGATAAATCTACTCAAATGATACAATAAGAAATGAAAACCTGATATCTGTCATAACCTTTTTTCCACCTTTTTTGGCTTTAAGCCACCTAACCATCATGTTCACTTCACATTTGTTAGAATTATATAATCTAATTGTCACTCGTTACTGACGACATGTAAAGACTTTCATGTTCCAGCTTCCCTCTGTAGCCTAGATTCTAGAATATCCCCTCCAGCCTCAGAGTCCTCATAAAACCTTCTCACGACGGAATGCTGGCCAGTGACTGCATCTAACACACTTATTCAAGAGCATCACTGAGATCCCCTGAGCAGTTTAACTACTTTGCTGCTTTTAGGACACAGTTATGCATGCTACCACTTTGACCTTTTGTATAACATTTCAATTTTCTGCAGCCAAAAAAAAACCATCCTGTTATCAAAGGGTTGTATCTGTGCTGGTTATTGATTTCTGTTTTGCATGATGATTAAGAAGCCCCCACAATGCAGATCTATTGTGCTTCCCATTGAATAAAAACTGGTAATGAGAATTAGACTAAGCTGTTCTTATAAGATTGAAGAAGCAGTCTGCGCAGAGGACTAATCCAGTGACGGAATACAGGTAATAGGATGCAAATAGATACAGCTAATCTGTACAGTGGACAGTCCTGAGAATGCTTTATCCAGCTATATGGGTATATCTCTCATCGCATCTCATATATTTAGGTAAGCCATCATTAATATATAAAGCCTGTTTCTAGCTCTAAGCTGTAATAAAAATGACTTTGCCGTTATAACAAAGTTGTCATACAAGCTTGATATGGATGACTGTTATGCGCTGCAAAATTATTGGATAGTGATGAAAAAAGTTGTATGTTCTTCATTCAGCTATGTTTTCTCTTTTTATTTATTATAGGTGTCCATTGTGAGCAAGACATTAATGAATGTGAGTCAAATCCTTGTCAGAATGGTGGCACATGTGAAAATCTTAATGGCACCTACACTTGTCATTGTCCTACAATAAAGGATCCAAGAGGGCATTATTATGGAGGATCAGATTGCACAGAGAAGCTCAGGGGCTGTGAAAAGCAGACATGCTACAATGGTGGTTCATGCGTACCCTATATGATGGATGGCAAACACCACCACACCTGCCTTTGTCCTGCGGGATTTAGAGGCCCTGACTGTCGGGCACAGACAACGTTCTCCTTTAATGGTAGAACAATTCTTCCTATTAGAAATATTACTGTTCAGCCCCAAGGGGGTTCATTTTCCATTATATCTCTGAGCTTCTCCACGGTCCAGACAACTGCTGTTATTTTCAGCATTGGAACCAAGCCGGCTTCCCTGACGCTCTCTATAGAAAAGAGCTTTTTATTCTTGGATTTTCTTAACACTCAGTGGAGCACACTTCTGCATTTGTCTCACAATGTCAGTGATAATCTTTGGCATACTGTTGAAATAATAATCGCAGAAAACATTCAGCTTAGAGTCCTTGACCCTTCTTGTGATAATACGTGTGTATCCCTGTCCAAGTATGAAGGTCCAACAATCATTGAGTTTCAGGGAATGTCTATAGGCGGTATACAACCAGCGAAAACCAGAGAGAGAAATCATAACAATAGCACAGAAGAAATACAATCCTGGTTTGTGGGCTGCTTAAGGGATATCCGAGTGGGTTCCACTGTTATTACAGAGGAATTTGGAGAATCGGTTGGTGTTGAAGTTGGATGCCAGCGACAAGACCACTGTGAGAACCATCCCTGTGAAAACAGGGGGAAATGTATGAATCTATGGATCAACTACCACTGTGATTGCTATAGACCTTATAGAGGGATAAACTGCTCCGCAGGTAAGAAAAGAGATCACTTAAAGTGATTAAACTAATTTGCTACCATAATTTTTAGTGACAGACAAAATATATCATAAATTGTGAACTTGTTTTAAAAGTATTTAGCCATTCTGCGTAGGTATAGACAGGAACAAGTAAGTGGGACCAGAGGCAGATATTTATGATCTTTATAACATCCTTTTAAATACAAATTAAATTCTAGATGTTGAATGCATCTTTCAGCTTCTAATTCCATTTGACTCTATACAGTATGTGGCAAGGACATGACTCACTATATCTGACACAATTAATAGGTCCATCTAGAAAATTTAAGATCTATTGGAATTCTTGAGAGCTGTAGTTTTCTGAATATGGGATGTTATGTGTGGAGCACCATGCCTATATACATTAAAGTGACCCTGCCACCACAGCGTCACCTAAATAAAGAAGAGCAGCCCTGTAAAGAAGATCATATATACTGGCATTTATAGTGGCCTGGGTCCTGAAACACTGCGTCTCTACTATTTTCTGCAGGTGGGTCAAATACCTGCTCCCCCACTACATGCATAGGTTTCTCCCTCCGTCTCATATGTCCAGTAGTGACTTTTGAGCTAGTGAGAGGAAATACAGCATATAGGGTGGAGAAGGTATTCACACAACCGAAAATATGAAATACCTGCAGCGACTAGGGAGCAGTGAAGCAGTGACATTTCAAGATACAGGTCACCAAATAGGTAAGTATGGACGATCTTCTTTAGAGGGTTGCAATTGTGTTTAAAATCCGCGTTTTTTGTGTTCCTTTCAATATGTGTCGGAAGCAGTGAAAACAAGTGAATTCTATTATCACTCTCTGAATTCTCAAGACAATAAAGTCACTGTGCTAAAGTTTTTCAAAACTTATGTATAAACATTAAGGTGCTTAGTGATTATCCCAACACAATATGTGATTGTTGAGATTGTATTGATTTTAACTATTGGTGATGTCACATACTGTGTCGGGATAATCACTAAGCACTTTAATGTTTATGCATAAGTTCTAAATGTTAAATTTTTTATTGTCTTGGGGATTCTTTGGAGGGTTGCCCCTTTTTTTTTTAAATAATTGACTCTGTGGTGATAGGATCATTTTAATATGAAAAAACTTGATTTTCCCTTTTCTTGCTCCTATTAGCATCAATATTTGAAAATAAGTCAGCAAACAGTTGCCTCACATAGGGTTGCCAACTATCTCTAGTTATCCCTAATCTCTTATTATTCGTAAACATCTAATTCCACCATTTCCTCACATTTCTATTTCCAAATAACTAAAAACATCAGTCTTACGCCTATCTAACAAACAATTAAAGAAAAGGATTTGTCATGTAGAGGTGGTTGTTTATTTGTCATTTGTGACGGCGTACATCACATGTAGCTTTAAGGCATCCCCAAGCATGCTATTTAAAGGATTTGTACATTTTTAATGTTTTTCATTACAAGACAGCCTCTCCCCTTTTTTTTTTTTTTTTAACAAAAGCTTGCAAATTGGCATTGAAAGGGGCCAGAAAAAAAGTACACGATTCTGCTCCCATAGACTTTTTAATGGAGCTATGTTTTGGGGTTTGCAGAATTCCCACTGAGTTCGGTTAACGTCCAGCAAACCAAACTTTGCTTGGTACGCTCATTGCTATATGTAACTAGGTCTACTTGGCCTTTGTGTGTGTGTAAACCTCCAAGCTAAATCTGTTCTACTTTTAGGACAGAGCGTGGGAACACTTGATTCTTGGTTATGTTTTTATTGCTGTCTGGGTCTCGGATTACTGTTCACTTTCTGGTCATCAGGAAAGAAGGTTAAAGATAATTCCTCCAACTGGGAAACAGACAATAAAATTAGAGGGTTTTTTAAATAGAATACAATTAGAATTCTTTCTAGATTTTTATTATTTTTTTCTAGATTTTTATTGCTGTTTGTGTCCTGTAAGGGGAGATTAATCCTATAGTAGTCAGAGAAGCGGTGAGGAAAAATATTTGCAGCTGAGAGTTTGGGCTCTTCCTAACTTTATTTCATTATAGGCCAGTATACTACTAATACTAAATGAGCTTCTCAACCAGAGTTTAACAAACTCCTAAACGTTAAATGGAAACAAGTGGACATCCAATAAAATGTTCCTAACTAAATATACAGTTTATAAACCAGGAAGAGTACCTCTCTTTAGTCAGAGCACATTTCACTTACAGTAGGTAATTCAGAAGATCTGGTTTTTAAAAACTGTCATGCTGAAATAACAGATGTTCTTATGCTGTTATCGCAGATTAAACAGTATATAAATTTATGCACATAAAATGTATCATATTTGATAAGCTCAAGGTTTTCCAAAAGAATCTATCTGCTACTAACCATCTAGCACTGTGTTCATCAGACTGTCTACCAATATACTGGGGATTTGTATTCTTTTGAAAGATTCTTAGCATGGAGTTAGCAAAGGATCAAGAGCCGCATATCACTTTTATATCACAGTACTGAAAATCCTCTTGTGATGGGGCACAGGCTGCTCACTGATGTGAATACATGAATATATATATATAATGCAATATTTAGTACTTCTTGCAGAATTTTGTATTTGTTAAATCTGTATTGCTGCTTTCAGAATATCAAGCTGTGGAGTTTGGACATGGGAATGTATCTTCATATGCCATTTTCCACAATCTGGCTACACATATGGATGACATCACTTTATCAGCATTTGTGAGGGCAGAACATGATTCCGGCTTGTTATTTGCTTTGGGAAATTCCACAACCTATGACATCACAGTGTTTATTGAAGATGGCAAATTAACAGCAAAAGCTGGAAGCGGCATCATTTTAAAAGGAGAGTTCAATATCAATGACTTTCAATTTCACTTGGTTTCTTTAAAGTTGACAAAAGACAATTTTGAAGTCTACACTTCTTCAACATCAATATCCCAAATATCTATGACCATGAATAAACAACAGAACATAAGTACTCTTTATGTAGGAGGACTGGTAAACCATCTAGAAACCATTCTAAATGGAGGATACTTTAAAGGCTGTATTCAAGATCTTAGGATTGATGACCAACCTCTGCAGTTCTTCCATAGTTCTAAGTCGATTGGAGACCCATTTCTGAGCAATGTGACAAAGGGGTGTACAAACAATTGCCCTACAGCAGGAAAGACATGTGAGCAGAATTGGTGCCAGCTCACCCAGTGCCCTCTTGGATCTGTGTGCCAGCCTTTGCCCAGCGGATATGAGTGTAAGCAAGCAGTATTACTTGTATTTTTTTGTGGTCATGAAAATTCTATGCCTACCAGATATTTCCGCAACCCTTTCCATGCTCAGATATGTAATCTCCCTCTGTTCAAATGGACATCACATCCACGGTTTAGGATTAACAGAAGGATAGTGGTAGGGCTAGCAGTTGCTACCATTAGGCTCAGCTGGGCCATGTTGGAGATATTAGGGTTACCAGGGATGCAGTTGCTAGCATTAAGGTTTGTGGGGCTGGTCATGAGCAAATTGATAGTTCCTACTACTTCCTGATATTGTACTGCCAATCACATGCTTAAAGGGTCAGATCATTGCAGAGCAAACCGTTATCATACCCTAAATCCTAAATGCATAAAAGAATACCTTGACTGCTGACATTCAAAGCCAGAAGCCACAGTTATCTGTGTACCTTGATAACATGTGATAGAGAAATGGCATCCCCATGCTGATCTCCAAGCTGATTTAAACAACAACAAATAATGCAATTACATAATCATGAATAAATCATGAAAACATATGTTTTATTGCAACTACTATAAATCCCAGAATCTCTCCTGATATCAGTCTCCTGTACACCCATGCACAGCACAGCTCAGACTGGGAGAGGGCAGGCCAGCACCAGGGGCCAAGCAGTCTCTGCTACATAAACATAGGTGCTGCCAAGGAACATGCTGACATAAAGAAAAGCTTAGTCATGGTGAATTTATCAATCTACTGCTTTCACTGTCAAATCACAGGCTGGGCAGGAAAATAACTAAGCTAAATTGCTTTACTGCAGTACAGAAAAAGAGGTCACCAGCCTTGATATGTTGCCTGGCTGGGCTATATTAATCTCAGAATAGGCTGGGTAGAATTGTAAATTCCTTTGGCAGGTAAGGCGTCTCGCATATATGTATTTAACTGTGTATCTCTGCTTGAATAAATACTCAAGACCAAAGGATAAAGAAGCTGATATAATAAAGAAGAATTTTGATTTGGCCCCCCATTCACCCTGCATTTGACTGGATAACTGAAGTGAATACTAATTTGCTTTGCTGAGTGTAAAATGTACTTATTATACTAACCCTGTGATTTATATTGGACTAAGTCAGAGGTGTCAAACTCAAATACACAGTGGGCCAAAATTAAAAAAATGCTCAAGTTGAGGGCCGTGCTGGTTCACACAGTATAATACCGCGGCATATACAGTATATCACACAGTATAATACCGCGGCCTATACAGTATATCACACAGTATAATACTGCGGCCTATACAGTACATCACACAGTATAATACAGCGGCATATACAGTACATCACACGGTATAATACAGTGGCATATACAGTATATCACACAGTATAATACAGCGGCATATACAGTATATCGCACAGTATAATACCGCGGCCTATACAGTATATCGCACAGTATAATACCGCGGCTTGTTAAATCTGTATTGCTGCTTTCAGAATATCAAGCTGTGGAGTTTGGACATGGGAATGTATCTTCATATGCCATTTTCCACAATCTGGCTACACATATGGATGACATCACTTTATCAGCATTTGTGAGGGCAGAACATGATTCCGGCTTGTTATTTGCTTTGGGAAATTCCACAACCTATGACATCACAGTGTTTATTGAAGATGGCAAATTAACAGCAAAAGCTGGAAGCGGCATCATTTTAAAAGGAGAGTTCAATATCAATGACTTTCAATTTCACTTGGTTTCTTTAAAGTTGACAAAAGACAATTTTGAAGTCTACACTTCTTCAACATCAATATCCCAAATATCTATGACCATGAATAAACAACAGAACATAAGTACTCTTTATGTAGGAGGACTGGTAAACCATCTAGAAACCATTCTAAATGGAGGATACTTTAAAGGCTGTATTCAAGATCTTAGGATTGATGACCAACCTCTGCAGTTCTTCCATAGTTCTAAGTCGATTGGAGACCCATTTCTGAGCAATGTGACAAAGGGGTGTACAAACAATTGCCCTACAGCAGGAAAGACATGTGAGCAGAATTGGTGCCAGCTCACCCAGTGCCCTCTTGGATCTGTGTGCCAGCCTTTGCCCAGCGGATATGAGTGTAAGCAAGCAGTATTACTTGTATTTTTTTGTGGTCATGAAAATTCTATGCCTACCAGATATTTCCGCAACCCTTTCCATGCTCAGATATGTAATCTCCCTCTGTTCAAATGGACATCACATCCACGGTTTAGGATTAACAGAAGGATAGTGGTAGGGCTAGCAGTTGCTACCATTAGGCTCAGCTGGGCCATGTTGGAGATATTAGGGTTACCAGGGATGCAGTTGCTAGCATTAAGGTTTGTGGGGCTGGTCATGAGCAAATTGATAGTTCCTACTACTTCCTGATATTGTACTGCCAATCACATGCTTAAAGGGTCAGATCATTGCAGAGCAAACCGTTATCATACCCTAAATCCTAAATGCATAAAAGAATACCTTGACTGCTGACATTCAAAGCCAGAAGCCACAGTTATCTGTGTACCTTGATAACATGTGATAGAGAAATGGCATCCCCATGCTGATCTCCAAGCTGATTTAAACAACAACAAATAATGCAATTACATAATCATGAATAAATCATGAAAACATATGTTTTATTGCAACTACTATAAATCCCAGAATCTCTCCTGATATCAGTCTCCTGTACACCCATGCACAGCACAGCTCAGACTGGGAGAGGGCAGGCCAGCACCAGGGGCCAAGCAGTCTCTGCTACATAAACATAGGTGCTGCCAAGGAACATGCTGACATAAAGAAAAGCTTAGTCATGGTGAATTTATCAATCTACTGCTTTCACTGTCAAATCACAGGCTGGGCAGGAAAATAACTAAGCTAAATTGCTTTACTGCAGTACAGAAAAAGAGGTCACCAGCCTTGATATGTTGCCTGGCTGGGCTATATTAATCTCAGAATAGGCTGGGTAGAATTGTAAATTCCTTTGGCAGGTAAGGCGTCTCGCATATATGTATTTAACTGTGTATCTCTGCTTGAATAAATACTCAAGACCAAAGGATAAAGAAGCTGATATAATAAAGAAGAATTTTGATTTGGCCCCCCATTCACCCTGCATTTGACTGGATAACTGAAGTGAATACTAATTTGCTTTGCTGAGTGTAAAATGTACTTATTATACTAACCCTGTGATTTATATTGGACTAAGTCAGAGGTGTCAAACTCAAATACACAGTGGGCCAAAATTAAAAAAATGCTCAAGTTGAGGGCCGTGCTGGTTCACACAGTATAATACCGCGGCATATACAGTATATCACACAGTATAATACCGCGGCCTATACAGTATATCACACAGTATAATACTGCGGCCTATACAGTACATCACACAGTATAATACAGCGGCATATACAGTACATCACACGGTATAATACAGTGGCATATACAGTATATCACACAGTATAATACAGCGGCATATACAGTATATCGCACAGTATAATACTGCGGCCTATACAGTACATCACACAGTATAATACAGCGGCATATACAGTACATCACACTGTATAATACAGCGGCATATACAGTATATCACACAGTATAATACAGCGGCATATACAGTATATCGCACAGTATAATACCGCGGCCTATACAGTATATCGCACAGTATAATACCGCGGCCTATACAGTATATCACAAAGTATAATACAGCGGCATATACAGTATATCGCACAGTATAATACCGCGGCCTATACAGTATATCGCACAGTATAATACCGCGGCCTATACAGTATATCACAAAGTATAATACAGCTCCATATACAGTACATCTCACGGTATAATAGCAAAGCCTGTACTTTTAATTATTAAAAAGCATGATACATAATTACAAAAAACATTTTTTTTTTACTTTTTTATTTACTTTCCCTTTAGGAAATAGCCTAAATATTTAAATCATAAAAGCCAAAAACAGACATTAAATAGTACAGCGCATTTGCAACAGCAGAATTTACGAAAAAGTTTTTCCATCTGGTGCCCGCTTCTGTGGATTCTTCCCCTGCTTTCTCTCCTCATTACGCAGGGGAGATATCAGTGGGGGGTCTGACAGTGTCACAGCACAGTACCTGCAGACTGCAGCTCTCCTGGCTCCCTGTTGTCTGTGTTGGATCCTGATTCCCGCCAAGGAGCACCTCACGTCGTCTGGACTGGACCTCGGGACCCCTCTCAGTCACCTCACCTCATGGCCACACCTCCCTTGTCAGGCTGTGCTGCTGCCTGCTGGGTAATGCAGTCCTCTGGCCGTCGGCAGCTCTCCGGCTCCTCTGTCCCATGAGTCCCAGGGCCAGATCTAATGATATTTAATTATGATCAGTCCGGCCAGAGATAATTCCGTCGCGGGCCGCTTCTGGCCCGCGGGCCTTGAGTTTGACACCTATGGACTAAGTTAAAGTGGGCCTGTGCCCCCACTATAGACACGACAGTATTTAGATATTCTGAACAAGAAGTAAAAGTACTTTACAAAAAGTTCCCATTTAGAATATTATCTTCAAAGTTCACAGCAGAGGCATAAAAATGTTAGAATTTTTAGAAGAGAAAAATGTTGGTGGCCTGCCAGTCTTTTAATGTAAACACACAACAAGTGTTTATAAGCTGCTAGAAAGGTGCTGAAACCTGACTTTAGAGTCTTTGTTGTGATCTTTGAGAATGAATTACGTCGCATTACAAACAGCTAGAGAGGTCATTGAGAGATTGTTTAAAAGACCCCATTCGGAGGAAATAAATAAATGATTGATGTCTCCGAAGTATGCTGGAAATGGAAATCAAGGACGGAGACTTTGGTTTCCTGCTTGTTTGACCAATGCAGTCAGGACAATAATAATCTTGAATAAGCAGAAGTCAGTGACCTGACCGGCCTTTTTTTATCTTCATAGTTTATTAATCTGTTATGAGGTATGATCAATCCCTTTACTTTTATGTTTTCAAACAGGTGTTTCCAATGCATTTTTTAGTGGGGAAGGCAATGGAATCCTATTTAGGAGTAATGGGAAGATTACCAGGGACCTCACCAACCTGACCATTGGCTTCCGCACTCTGAAGTCTGACTCTGTGCTGCTGCATGCAAACAGAGAACCAGAGAGGATCACAATTAGTGTCCAGGACAAAAAGCTGCATTTCTACCTACAAAGTGGCAATGGCCTTAGCGCAGTAACGTTGATAAGTGTGGTATCAGTGAGTGACAGCCAGTGGCACAGTGTCTCCTTGTCAATGGTTGCTCCTGGATTACAGTCCTCCATATGGCAGATGGAAATAGATGGAAAGCCTGAGATGATCGGTTCACAAGCCACGGGAAATTTGAACTTCCTAAAAGAGGGCACAGAGATTTATGTGGGTATAAACAACAATGGCTCAAACAGGAATTTTACTGGATGTCTGGGCACTGTATTAATAGAAGGAATACACCTACCGTACTTTGCAGATTCAGATTACTTTGTAACTAAACCACAAAAGGAACAGTTTGTGAAAATCTCTCCTGCGAGTGTTGCCATTGGGTGCCTGCAGTCTGACCCCTGTGCCTCTCAACCCTGCATGAATGGAGGCAGCTGTAATGATGTCTTCACCCAACCAGTATGCACTTGTCCTGCATGGAAGACTGGAACTTTCTGTGAAGTCAACATAACTGAGTGTGCGTCCAACCCCTGTGTACATGGAAACTGCAGTGTGGTCAACAATGGCTATAAGTGTGAGTGTGAGGATGGTTACAGTGGAACTAACTGTGAAATCCATAGCTGCCATGGCCATCTGTGTAGAAGTGGTGCCACCTGCATTGCAGGAACAGCAGGATACTTTTGCCTCTGCCCAGCAAATTTTACAGGACTAAACTGCAGGTGAGAACTGGCTATGGGGACCTTTTGTTTAGAATCATGATATGACTTCCCTGTGGTTACACCTCCTAGGTCTTTCTTACATTTACAGTGTTCTGAAAATGCCATTTCATCTGCATTTAATAACACAACTGTACCTTCATTCTTCACAGTATGTTCTCACAATCTGAAACATCTGCTCTCAGTTTGGTAAGAATGTATGTATCATCTTTATAAGTCAGATGTGTGTATGTGTTTGACTTAGCTGCATTAGAATCTTCACTGCCATCACTTGCATTTGTAGCTGGCTTGGCTTGCTTGGAGTCCTGATAATTAGGTAGAGCATCAATTTGCATAAGGCTACCTTTATACCAATGAACCATATAAAACGTTTTTTAGTCGGTCACACTGTCTTAGTGACACATACCTTGTGGTATACCTTGATGTCATACCCTGTGGCTCCCTGACAAACCAGAACACACAATGAGGGGAGATCTCAGTGTTGACAGAGGCAGCAACAAAAACCTTGTAGAGATTGTACTCCATTTTTCCAATTTAAAAAAAAGGTTTACCTCACTTCTTGTCTAAATGACAAGGGACAGAATGTGAGGGGAAATCTCCCCAATGGCGTTTTCACCGACACACCCTCTATCCAAAGCAAAAAAAAAAATGTTTTGGCTGGAGTTTAGCTTTAACTTAAATAATATATTTTTGTGTTTTATTTTCCAAGTTAGTTATATTTAGCAGGAAAAAAAACCCTTTTAGCTATAACCGTTTAGATAAAATTGAATGTCAACAATACAGTAATAATATAAGTAGCATGATGACTCTGACCAAGTGGTCACTGTTTGCTTGAGAAAGGAACTTATAACTTGTGGCTAATAAATTGCCTTGAATGAATCTTCTTCAATCTGCTGTATACAATCTGTATACAATCATACAATCAAATCATATAATAATTTCATATGAGGTCAAAAGCTATTTTGGAGTGCACCATACTATTTTTATTGCAATCCCCCAAACAGAGTTCCAAAATCTATACTTGGGGGTTCTCAGATTCTGAAATCAAGTACAGTGTATTGGGAAACTCACTTTTACAGATGGTTTAAAATGTTCTGCTTTTTTTAATTATAAAAAGCAGATTACTATATTTGGACACAAGGATGTTTTAAAAACCAGTAATATAAATACAAATGTATGGATATAATAATGATGATGATACTAACAATAATAATTCCTATTATTATACATTATATTTATGTAAAACAGTCATATATTGTAAACCCAATTATCATCAATATAATAATTAACTGAAATTATCTTTTTTTTTTGCTGGTTGATTTGTGGTTTTCTATAGAATTATGGTTTTCATCAATTTATTAAGATTTATTTATTACAGGTATTTATATAGCACCAATAATTTTACGCATCCCTTTAAATACTGTACAGTCTCAGCAGTCCCTGTCCTCAAGGAGCTTGCAATCTAAGGTCCCTGTCTCACATGCCATTGCAATTGTTGATAATATTGTCGCAGGTCGGCTAGAACTATGAGGTGAGTGAAAAGCACTCACCTCATAGTTCTCCTTTAATACTACTCTGGGTGCAAACATATATTCAGCTCTTATGCGAAAACCCCTGGCATAGTGTTTCATGTTCTGCTTTAGGCCCCATTCACACTGAGCGATTTATCGCAGGTCGCTGTCGCGGGTCGTGCGTCGCTACAGCAGGACCCTTTTTGGAGCGGATTTTGCCGCGATTCTAGTTTGCTCAATGCAACTATTTGCGCGATTTGCAAATCGCTCAGTGTGAATGGGGCTTTAGTGTGTTTCACGTCTGCCACAGATCAGTCCCTGCTGCAGCGCTTTCGCCTTGTGAATTGCTACAAATATACAATGTTGCAGTCTAATCATTGGCGGTAGAGGAAATGCTCAAGCTGACTTCAATGATAAAAGGTCGAATTTTCCCAAAAATGGATGCTATTGCTGTATATTGTGACATGTGCGGAATCTATATATTCAGACTTGTAAAGTCCCATCCTCCGGCTTCTGTCCTCTGGAGGAAAAGGGATGTCATTCTCCTTCCGGCGAGATCTGCGGAATGTAGAGCTGCCCATATCTCAATGAGAAGACACTTCCAGAACTGTGCTGCAGTGTCTTCTCTGGAGTACTCTCAAATCCCGGGATTTTGTTGGCAGAAGGATGACTTCACCTTCTACACTATGGAAGCCAGAAGAAAGGTGAATATATTATCTAATTTTTTCCCCCCTACAGGTGCCTTTGTTAGCTTTAATCAGAGTTGGAGCACATTTAAAAATAATTATTCTATTTCAATTGTTTTACTTTTTTTTAACTCTATCTACTTTTATAAAAAAAACTTTTCTTTTAAAAAAGCTTAACTATTTCATTAATGAATGTCTCAATAGTGAGGCATTAATTAATGACTGGAACTGCTGAGAATCAGCAGTTACCAGCATTACAGAGGCTAATATAACTCGGCATGTACAGTGTACGTGGCCAGTCATATAGCCACTTTGTGACGGGACGTACACTGTACGTCTCCCGTCACGAAGGGGTTAATCGTTAAAGTTTTTGATCGATTTCAATTTCTTTTGATCGCTAATGAAAACACTCACCTCTCCGCCGGCTTCCGGGAGTCCCGTCGGCGATCTGGTGACTTCACGGACATCGAGGTCACCGGACTCCTCCCCCCTTCCCCAAGTGGCTCCGTCGGCTAACGAAGGGAAGGGGGAGGAGTCTGGTGACATCGATGTCCGTGACGGCTAACGAAGAGAAGGTGGGAGGAGTCCGGTGACGTCAATGTATCAGGGGTGTAAATAGACCCCTGACAATTCCCTTTTGAAATAGAAAAAGAAATTGAGGACACAAAGTCCTTGATCTCTTTTTCTACACCCCCTGGTCCGAATGAATGGAAAGCTCTCCTATTGATTCAGGAAATATTTACAATCATCCAGTTATGAATGGGTAGAAGCCTCTATAGTGAGTGTTTCTCCCCATTGAGAAACAGATGAATTAACAGAAAGAGATGTAAAGCTCTTCCTGTTCATTCATAACTGGGGACACATAGTACCATGTGTCCCCAGTTGTTTACAAACATTGGCGTGATCAGCTGAGTGTGGAGTGTTCAAATCCACTTTTCAAATGATAATGAACAAACCCCTCACCTCTCACAACCCCTCCAAACATTACAAACAAGGACAAGCAAGTAAAAATTTCAACTCATAAGAAGCCAAGAAACTTTTATTTTATTTTTATTTGAGGTATCATCTTTAAAACATTTTATATAATTTGGGAGTACAACAAGGAATAGATGCCTCTTTTTAATTATTTGATAAACATTGGGGATCTAAGAGTTTTAGAGAACATAAAATATATTTTTGGAACATAAAATATATTTTTGGAGACTGAGTTCAGATTTAGTAGAATCATTTTGTTTTATTTTTCACTGTGCTCTAGTAATAACAAGATGACTGTTTGTGACCTTTTACCTTGCAATACTTGAAATTAGCCACAATGAATTCTATGAAAATTGCATGTAGTGGGATTCCTTGTTACTAATTTATGATTGTCAAAATAATTCTCTTGGAAATTAATAAGAATGTATAGAAAGGAAGAAAGGACAACCCACTTCAGATGGTTCTTGGTAAACACGGGTAGGATACATTCTCATTTAATGTTGAAAAACACACATACTGTATATCACATACATGCCAGGAACCATTTAAGGCCAAGTCTAAATATATCCTTAACCCCTTCATGACTGAGGCCTTTTTTTCATTTTTTGTACCCATGTTATATTCCACATTTTAGGCCTGAAAATTACTTAAAACCCCCCAACATTATATATTTTCTGAATGCCAAGACCCTATAGAATAAAATGGTGGTAGTTGCAAATTTTTATGTTGCGCAATATTAGCTGGGGGGGGCGGCCCCTTCTTCGGGACGCAGAAGCGATCTGGCGACAGGTAAGTCGCCAGGATCGCTTCTGTTGTAAAGCCGACAGTCGGCTCTACAAGTTTAAACAGAGTCCCGGCTGCAAAAGTCGCCGGGAGTCCGTTTAAACAGCCCCGATGCTGGCGACGTACACTGTACGTCAGTCACGAAGGGGTTAAAAATGCTATAAGTCCAATCATGTGCAGCAAATTTATTTAGCATACAAACAGCCAGGATGACCTACTAAGCTAAACACGCTCAAGCCCCGTTACTTTACATGTAGATATGATGGCTGAAACTTGCTCAACAATCCATCCATAGATTAATAATAAAATGTAACTTCCTCTGGTTTCATGGATGGGGAAGAAATTACACAGGTAATGGAAAATATCCCAAATCCCAGACAATTTTCCCAGTGCATGCTAGCTGCTTCAGGAGGCATTGATGGTGACATTACAAGCTGGTACAATAGTGCAGAGTGAGTTCTTGCTTATTTCAGGGGGATCAGGTGAAGCTGCAGTGGCAGAAGGTTCTCTCTTCTACCACCCACTTACAGGTGAAACTCGAATAATTAGAATATCGTGCAAAAGTAATTGCAGTAAGTGCTGCAAAAGGGGCCCAAACCAAGTACTGAGTACATATGCATGCTTGTACTTTTCAGAGGTCCGATATTGTTCTATGTACAATCCTTGTTTTATTGATTGCATGTAATAATCTACTTTTTTGAGGTTGTGGATTTGGGGTTCTTGGGGTTTTCATGAGCTGTGAGCCATAATCATCACAATTATGACAAATCACGGCTTGAACTATCTTGCTTTGCATGTAATGAGTCTATCTCATATATTAGTTTCACCTTTTAAGTTGCATTAGTGAAATAAATGAACTTTGCACGATATTCTAATTATTCGAGTTTCACCTGTACATTGCTGGTCTAGCTGATGGACATACTTGTAAATAGGCATTCTCTCTAGGGTGTTCTCTGGGGTTTTTTTCAACATAATTTCTGATAGTAATTGTACTTATCTAGATTTATGAAAGTACATGTAACATTAATTATGTTTTGACTGGGAAGACTCATTCTGGAGAATGTTACTTTTTAGGCAAAGGTAGTGTACCTACACAAATTCAGATCTCCAACATATCTGTTACCAACGGCTGCTTTTTTTTACTGACATTAACATTAGATTGCAAAAACGGGGTAAAAAGGAGTAACGCTAAAAAGAAAAAATATATATAAATAAATATAATTATGGGCAGAGCTCCAGGGTTTCAGAAAAATGTATTCAAACAGCGCAAACCACGTAGCATAGAAATCGCATAGTAGGAGCCCTCCAATAATTAGATATTCAAGTATAATATAAAGTGCATCCAAACATATTTATTTAAACATTGCAACACATAAAGATAAATCACCTCATTACATTTAAAACTTGTTTAAAAATCGCGTAGCTTCCCTGAAGTGACTCAATGTGGGACAGAAATAAACAGGGTTGAAATACCCGCAGGGCAGAGCAGCAGTCATTTATATGAACGGATACACCGTTATGAGGTGGTGGATCCTAATGTATCAGCATATGATGATAGGATTACTCACTTGTTCCTCACTTGTGGCCACAAGGGGAAGAGTCCGTACTTCTATGATAGATATTCCAGTGGTATTCTTAGTTAAGGTTTTTTATTCAAAAAACATTTGTAATCCTGCTGATCGCGTAATGTTTCCACCACTTGCACCAACTTCCATTGAGTTTGATCCCGACCTGTTTCACTTCACATCTACTGTGGACAGGTGGCCCGACAATTCCCCTGCAAGTGCGGCCGCACCTTGGAACGGGGGTGAACGATGTTCCACGGGCAAGGTATCCAGTGATGTGCTTGATCAGGGATTAGAAATTGGTGATCTCCGCTGTCGCTGTGTTTCTTGAGCGGGCCATTATGACATTGATGACATTAACATTACCTCATAGGCAGACAGGTTGGAAAAATCTGTGATGGTTTTTGAGGAGTTGTAGTGCACGTAGTTTACCGAAACTATTTGTTTATTCAATCTCCTGTGTTATACATGAAGAAAGGATCAAATTAAGATATGTTGAAAACCATTGCACATGTGATTACAATTGCAATCTTAATATGGATCAATATGGTAAAAATCGGTAAACATATTTGTAGTAAATCGAGAAAAAATGCTATCTGGTTGCAGGGGTGTGGAAATTTAAAAAAAACAACTACTTGTCCAAGGACTAACGCGGGGGCCCGATCTACTTGTCCCTCATGACAATCTATTTGTCCTGATACAAAAAAATAAATTTTACCCAAAACCGTATTTAGCAGAGCCAAGAAGAGCTTCTCATTGGTCAGTGGCGTCAGGTGACCGCGATGACCAACGGGTGCTTGCAATTTGCGAGCAAAATTTAGAATACATGGCACAGTTACAGATAGTACACCCATATTGGCGGATGGGAAGGACCATTCACTGAAAGGTAAGTATAGCAGGAGGGGGAGGGGGCCAGATTTGAGCAGGTAATTCCATTTTCCAATTTACTTGGAAAAATGAATTTACACTTAGGGCTGGTGCAGACTTGGGCGATCGTGTGCGGTTGCATGCAGCAGTTGCCTCGCGGCCCCATTAATTTCAGTGGAGTTACATCCGTGTGGCAATCACTGAAAAAAGGTACATGTACCTTTTTTCGCAACACGCACCATGCAGTGTTTTCAACAGTGATTATGACTGATTGCACGGGCAGTATTGTGGCGGGAAACTGCACAATCTGCCAGGCGTGACTGGGGTGCCATTAGACAATAATGGCACCGCCAGCGCAATCTGCAGTGGTGTGTGATTCTGTGATTGCTAGGCCATCCACACGATTTTGTGCACGATTGCCGTGCGGTAACGGATCGCCCACTCACACACAATACCCCATGCATGCAGATGGTGGGTGCAGCGGGGTTTTAATTTAATTTTACTTTTTTTTTACTTTGTAATATTGGTTATTTTTAATTCTCATTTTTTTTTTTTTACTTTATCGCCTTTTTATTTTTTCCATTTTTCATTGTCATTTATTTATTTTTTTCACTTGACTTTATTGCTATTACACAAGGGATAACAAGCCCCTGTTTGAAAGCATTTGGTCATGACAGGTTCTCTTTATTGACCCTGTCAACTCCAACACGGGAGTTCTAGCACAGCACTGTGCTCGTTCTTCTGTGACGGGAAGGCTGCATTCCTGTATCACTGTACACATGGAGCAGAGAACCGTTCTCTGCTCCGTGCTGTAACCTAATCTAATTTGCCTGGCCCCGGGTCCCCCACAAGAGGGGGGGACCCCAAAGACCATGGCAGAAAAGAAGTCAGAGGCAGCCGGGTGAGGTACATGGCCGGCCAGCCGCCGGGGAGGGGGAGCGAGGGGAGTGAGATTCAGGCTCGTTACAAGTGATTTTGGACAGCTGTGCAGCCGTCCAACATCACTTGTACGAAACGGCTCCCACACTACATTTAGCCGTGCTGCTTGCCCGCAGCCGGGCTAAACGTAGAAAAAAACTACTTGCCCAATGCCCGAAACTCCCTGTCCCGGGCGATAGGAATTCCACACCCCTGCTGGTTATAATAAAATATTCTGATCAAATGTTTTAAAAATATATATATTTTACATCGATGCGTGTTTGTGTGTGTGAGTGGCCAGCCAATTTGACGCACTAAACATTATCATTTTGCACTCCTGTCAACTCACCCAGGTCCATTGACCAGATCTTCTTTAGGAAAACAATCGGACTGTATAACATTGATGTTATTGGCCTCCGCTCCCTTCCCCGCTTCCTCCCTTATATACCATTTACCCCCGAGTGCACCCAAACATTTAACGTAGGACCCCACAAATAGAGACATCAAACATCTGCCTAGACATCAGAACTACTTTTGAGCAAAGACCACATTGATCTGCAAAATGTATTTATTGCTTCTTGGTTTCAGCAGCTAGTTGACAAAACATTTACAATTTCTGTACTTCAAAGTCTCTTTTTTAATTTTTTTTATTGCAGATTTAACAGAATGCCGTCAACATTTTGTGGAGACAAGAATAAAAATATCACCTGCTATAATTATAGTAACTGCACTGAGGTGAATGGGGTGCTGGGATGTTCCTGTCTACCAGGATTTGTTGGAAAAAGGTTAGTTGTGTCTTCTTAACATGACAGAGTTTAGGTGTTATGATTTTTACTCTCGTGTCAGAGTCTATGCCCCAAACCTCAGAGTCAGGTGCCACATCATCTAACTTGAGTGCTACTTTGCAGTAGTCCCATTTTCACTATGGGGCTGGTTCAGATCTACGCAGTACAGTTTAGTGTAAAGGGGAAAGGGAAACCATATGGGCCTATTCATACCTATCCATTTGCATACTTCCCACGCCGCATTTACATGGAACAGTGTAAATGCAGCCTGAAACTCCCAGCAATGTCAAATGAAGAGAATTCTCCTAAAGAGAGTGAAAACTGCCAGTGTTTACATTGGGATAGGTAAATATAATGGGAGGGATGTATCAAAACTGGAGCAATTGGCAACCAATCGGCTTCTCTCTTCAGTTTGTTCAGTTAAGATTTGAAAATGAAAAGGTGGATGCTGATTGGTTGCCATTGGCAACTGCTCCAGATTCTGCCTGTTCCAGTTTTGATAAATTCCCTTCAATTTCTCTTCAGGGGAACCTTTTTTCTACATTTTAATTGAACCACTTCAGTACCGGCAGGTTCCACCCCCTTCATTAAAAGGCCATTTTTCAGTTTTCAGAGCCCAGCAAGTTTGCCTGAGAATCCTAATAATTCAATTTCATATCATTTTAGGGGAACAAATTGAGCTTTCTTTTAGTAGTATTTATTAACTGCCTTTTTAAAATTGTTTAACAATATGAAGTAAAAAAAAAAAACCAACATTTTTTTTTAAAAAAAGTCTGTTTCTCTTACTTTCGTTTATAAATCATAGGAAATAAATGCCAGGACAGTAGGAAAATCCCCAATTTAAATGGGCTATGGCTGCAAGCAATGTTCACAATCAATAACAGATTTACCCAAAACAGAACCCTTTCTCACTGTTTGTTATGTGAATTTACAGATGTGAGATTGACTTTGATGAGTGCGAATCGAATCCCTGTCTTAATGGAGGACTCTGCCAGAACCTACCCAACGAATTCCACTGCATCTGTGACCTGAATTTTGCTGGAACGTTGTGCGAGATCGATGTAAGCGACCTGTCATTCTACGTGTCCATGCTGCTGTGGCAGAACCTTTTCCAAATGCTTTCATACCTGATACTCCGCATGGATGATGAGCCAGCAGTAGAGTGGGGGGATCAGGAGTATGATGATTAGTGAACCCTTCCTTGGCAGATCAGCCAATGCTTCTAATACCCATTCATACAGCCACACAGGTAATGGGGCTGGTGTATAACTGGTGTAGACATGTGTCTATGCTATACAAAGCAGCCATCTATTTTTCTAGTACACACAGGAAAATAGCATCCATTGAGTTCATTTGATTTCTCTGACTGCAGGTTGGTCGCTATGAGTATCGCAGGCAGTTATATTTATTTTGTTTAACTAAATAAATCTTATTATATCAATGGGAATATTTCTATGGGAACACTGTAAAATAAGTTTCACAGTAAGTAGTACAGTGGGTTTGTGAGCTACTGCTTCCATACACTGGCCTGTATTGTCTGCTTAGTTGTGGGCAGCAACCAATGTGCCTAGAACCAGCAGATTGCTATACAGACCTCCTAAATTATTTATTATTATTATTATTTTTAGTTTAATGCAATATCTATGCCATTAAACCTATGCTGAGAAAAACCTGGAGGCTGGCACTGCTGACATCCTTATAAAAATGCTAGCTTCCTGGCTTCAATGCTTATTCTCTGACTTCAACATATTTCGAGCCACCGACCTGGTACAAGAATGCCGCAAATTAAGTTAGACTGAAGTCAGAACTGCTGATCTGTATGCTTGTCCCATTTCAGAGACTCAGAAAGAGCTGAACCCATTGGATCAGCATGGCAGCTACTTAACCAGCATTTGGTAGGAAAAGACAGCAATGGCTGCCCCCAGGTTTCTCTCTGCACAGGTTTCTTTTACGTATAATACCAATCAACTATTAAGGAGAACAAATCAAAAACAAATTATGCAATTATTTATTCATAAAATGTGACAAATTACAGCTGTATTTTGCTACTTTATGACACAATTGAGTTCTTGACTTATAATATCAAAGTTAAAATAGGGGGGGAGGGTAAAAGGTACAGATGTGCTCTATAATAGTGCATGGAAGTGTATACAAAAATAAATATACATAAGTATAAAAATGTATATGGCCACAAAATACCCAGTTTGACTATGCCTATACTATTCCCTATGTCCAGATTAAAATGGTGAACCAAACTTAGTTATACAAGACATGAAATTATCTTCTATTCTACAGATAGTCTTAAAAAAAAACAATAAAGAAAAAAATATCAAAAACTACAGATAAATATTAACATAAACATTGATTTGTTTAATAAAGTTCTACCAATTCAGCTTTTGTTAAAAGTTGCAACTGTTTTTGATATTTCCACTGTATTTTCTCCAAAGAATAAATCTTGCATCTTTAATTAAATTTGTCACTAAATTTTGGGGTTTAATAAGGAGTTGCGCTAATATTGCGCAACATAAAAATTTTCAACTACCACCATTTTATTCTATAGGGTCTTGGCATTCAGAAAATATATAATGTTGGGGGGTTTTACGTCATTTTCAGGCCTAAAATGTGGAATATAACATGGGTGCAAAAATTTAAAAAAGGGCCTCAGTCATGAAGGGGTTAATAGATGGACTATCTGGAGACTTGCAGTATCTTAATATAACAACTTTTGCCTCATTAAGCATAATAAACAAAATAGGTTTATAAAAACAATAATTCTAATTATCAATGCACAAAATCATTGTTTCCAAAGACTGTACATTAACTATCAATTTCATTAATCGTCTTTGCAATTTTTCAAACAACATATTTAAGCTGCTTTGGGTAAATGTTGTTGTTTACATTTTGTGTCTGTATCACCTGTACCTAGGTGCTTAAAATCAGCGCAGGAGGTCTCATACAACATTCCCCGAATATTTGCTCTATAAGGGCCTTTGTACATAAGGGGGATTGGTGCATCTCTACCGATGCAGCTTTCCGTTCTGTGCCATAGTAGGAGAAATTCACTGATAGAGACACATTTCTGTTTGTCTATAGCATGTATTTACCTGAATGCTAAATGCAAGCTATAATACACACATAGGGGTCTATTTATAAAAAGTTTCCATAGCCTATTTGTTCTGTGTGAGTAAACCAAGTGTTATAAGAATGGGGCAAAAACAAGTGTACAAATGTGTAATTTTTCTTCTTGTCGAACGTTCTTCAATAGGTTCATAAAGTAAATGGGGAAAACACCACATTAAAGCCACTAGATGGTAGTAAGGGTCATAGGAAAGAAATCGACACAATTTTACAATTCAAGAGACCACGGGAGGGAATGAGCACATAAATGTACGCATTGATACTACAGGGATAGCAATGGTTACATTTATTGCCTCCAGTGGTCTTTTGAATTGTAATTACAGTAAGAACCTAAGACCCTATCATCTTCATCTTGCAGACCATGCCGATAAACACAGTTCACAGCATTCTTCTTCATGACCAGAAGTAACTATTCAAACATATTCTTAAAGTAAAGTCGACAGGAGGAATAACAATGCACAGTGGGGGGCATACTATCTAACACCACAGTGTGAAGATATAGCAAAACCTTTTTTATTTTGTTTTTGGCAAAGTGTGGAAGGGTTAGAACTGTTGTCTATGTGCCCGCTTGGGAGATTTTAAATGTACTGTTCGTTGTTGTGTTTTATGTATCTCTGTGTTCATTAAAATGTATACATTTTCATCTTGAATGTTTGCTTATTCTTTCTAATATTATTATCATCATCGTTTTCTTTGTATTCACCTTTACCACTGTCCTCATCACTTTAACCACTGTCTTCATCATCATCCGTGTCATCATCTTTACTATCAGCAATACTGTTAAATGAAGCATATCATAGGTGGCTTTCTCAAGTAGGTATACAGCAGGGGCGGACTGGGTCGGGGGCAGGGTGGCAATTGCCCCCCCGGGCCTCTCTGATGACTGTAAAAACGGCCGCCGCAGCGGTAATCACTCGTTTTTACCTCTCCCCTTTCGGGCTGCGGCTGAGAAGGGAGAAATAAAATAAGTGTTTCCCGCTGCAGCGGTGCCAGCGGGGGCCGTTTGTAAAGGAGAAAAATAATCATTTGATGCCCGTGCAGCGATCGGGCTCCTCGGCAGCCACGGATGGAAGCTCCACCCCCTTTCAGCTGCTATAGGCTAGGAGGGAGGCTGCACCCGATTGGCTGGCAGGATATGCTGAGCGGGACCTAAAGCCAGGAGACAGCATGAGGCGACTGAAGGCATTGCCTCAGAAGATGCAGGCAACTTCACAGCCCCCCCCCCCCCCCACCACCAGGAGAGGAAGAGAAGAGGACACAGCACCTGAAGAAGGAAGGAAAAGTACCACTGTAAGTACCTGTTCTTTCTGCGTGACCTCTGCACTGCGTACATGCTGACCTCTACATTACTCTGCCGGCCCCTGCACTGCGTACATTCTGACCTCTACATTACACCGCCGGCCTCTGCACTGCTTACATGCTGACCTCCGACCTCTACATTACACCACCGCCCTCTGCACTGCGTACATACTTACCTCTACATTACACCGCCGGCCTCTGCACTGCTTACATGCTGACCTCCGACCTCTACATTACACCGCCGGTCTCTGCACTGCGTGCATGCTGACCTCACACATTACACCGCTGGCCTCTGCACTGCATACATGCTGACCTCTACATTATACCGCTAATCTCTGCACTGCGTACATACTGATCTCTGACCTCAACATTACACTGCTGGCCTCTGCATGTATGCTGACCTCTACATTACACCGCTGGCCTCTGCACTGTGCGTCCTACCGCTTACCTCTGCACTGTGCTTTATTGCTGACCTCTGCACTGTGCATCACACCCCTGACTTCTGCACTCTGCATTACACTCTGAGTCAGTGGCAGAACTACCAGGGTTGCAGCGCTCGTGTAGCACACTGACGAAGCATCCCTCCACTACCAGTGTTCTATAATTTTCCTCAACCCATACATTTCTCTGCCGCGTCACTTCCAGGTGCGCATGTGCATGAAGAAAGAGGGTCATGAACACAGCTGATTCAGATGACGCAGCCCCACCATAAGTGACGGGTTCGAAAAAATTTATAGGGTCGAGAAAAATTGTAGAACACTGACTTTGACACTGTCCGGCCCCTCCCACTAACCGCTCACAGCCCAGAAGCATGGACAGCCAGCGGCGGTCTACAGTGGGTGAGAGTGCCTAAGTAGTGGACATGGAGCGGAGTAAGGCCAGAACCATGTAGGGAGCCCAGTGGGAGGAGAGCACCATCACCCAGCCAGTCACCCCTTTTATGGACTTACAAGGAGTCCTCACATCATCATACCGTTCACACTACCGTTACATGGATTGCCAAAGTGGCAGATGGGCGGGGGGAAGCGGGGGCAGAGGCAGAGCGGGACGGGGGCCAAGTTGCTGCACCATGGGCCTCTGGGTTGTACTTGCCCCCTGGGCTAAAAGTTGCCAGTCAGCCCCTGGTATACAGTATGTAGTAAGGCAGTGCAGCACAGAACAGTGACGAAATGCAGAATGCAACAACCCATTAGAAACCAGTCAGATGTTTCTTTGACCAGTAATAGATGATTTCACAAAGAATTTGTCAAATGTACAAGAGTATTGATTTCATCATACATGCCTGAATATAACAAGCTATCTACTACTATCAGTTTCTCCCTTCTTCAGGGCTTCAAGTACTGGCTTGAGTAAAGTGATGGCTATTGGAGGGTGAGTCAACACAGGAGTAAAATGGCGGGTTCGTTCCTCTTCACCAAAAGTATTTTTCAATAGCTGTTTGTGTAAGGAGTGATCACTCAAGTTAGCCCTTGAAGCCCTGATATAAGGAGGAATGTTATAGGCTTGACCCTTGTTGTCTGGTTATCTTTGGAATTCTATGATGAAATAAATGCTCTTAGACTCATAAACCTTTGGCGTGGTGCAGTGGCGTCACAAGGGAGGTGCGGCCCGCACCCGGGTGCCAAAGCGGCAGAGGTGACCAAAATGACTGTCAGTCACCCCCTATGAAAAGTCAGGCACTCGGTCACGGACCGAGAGTCCGAAAGTGTCAGGAGAGAGGAGGGGACCCGGCGGCATACCTTATCCCGCCGGGTGAACGTCCCCTCCTCTCTCTGCCGGCATCCATCACCAAGAGGGGCGCCAGCAGGCGTCAATAAGACCACCCCGCATATGCGATGACGTCACAGCGGGGTGTCACCCGGTCTCCGCCCCCAGGTGACACCCAGCCTCAGGAAACCCCTGGCGTGGTGCTTTTCTTGGCGCATTGTGCAGAGGATTGTGTTGTGCAAGAAATTACAAACACAGTGGCATAGTGGTTAGCGCTTGTGCTGGTAGGTTAATTGGCTGCTGTCTTAATTGGCCCTGTATGTATGCATGGGAGATAGGGGGCTTAGACTGTATGCTCCTTGAGGGCAGGGACTGATGTAAATGTGCAACTATGTAAAGCGCTGCGCAAATTATTGGCACTATATATATACCTGTAATAAATAAATACTGAATTTTTGGCTGTATCAGCAGGGGGTTTTTTTTGCACTTATTGAACAGATATAACAAAACTCTTTCAATGGTAAAGTTAAGAGACCAGAAGGTAGCAAATAAGAGAAGTTCATTGTTTGTTTGTAAAACCTTTTTAAATCATAAGAGCAGATAGGGAGTTGCCCAAGAAGGTCCTCTGGTTAAATGCGGGGTGCCGCATGGAGCTTTTTAAAACACAGACTGACTTGCATATGCATGAAATATCCATTATATTAATCAGGTCCTGAAAGTCGCAGAATTTCATTACCAGTCAGTATCTTTACAAGTCTGGAAAAATAAATTCCTGATATGTCACAATATAGAGCAATAGTATATTGTTTTTTTATCTTTAAAGCATTAAAATATATATATGTAGCTAAAAACTTTTTTTTTTGGGTAGGAAAGTAACAGAAGCAGTGTCAGATTTTATTGCGGTTTGTGTCCTCACTAGCTGGTTTCACCCTCTGTATTTTAAATATGTGTATTTTATATAGTCACATTCTGCTTTTATGTACTCATATTCTCACATAGTAAAATATAAAAACTGCTAGTGTTGGAATACAAGATAACAGCTGCAGTTGTGGATGCACTGTCTGAATACTGTAGGGGGTCTATTAACAATAAAGTACAAGATGCAAATAGTATATAAATTAAAAGGAATAGCAATAGGAGTGAAGATAAACAAAATTGATGAAATAATGCTATTGAAAACAGTCCAACCACACTTTTTATAATGCAGTTTAGAAAATAATCACCTGTTTTTTTTACTCTTCTGATTGATTGATTGATTGATTGATTGAGCCTAAAATCATTTAAAGAAATGAATGTCTTATATTCTGTTTCACATTTAAAAATTGACAAAAAGTAAAGAAAGAAGAAAGGTAACATTTAAAGTAAAACTGTGCTGTGGTCATATAGTTAAAACTATGGTTAAAGTTAAATAGTAGGCATTATAAGGTCCCACATCTTACCTTTACCTTAATGGACTACCTACCCAGATTGCTTCCAGAGCCCTCTAAAACATAGATTTCTGGCCATGGGAGAATAGACAGACCCCCTCCTATAAAGCAGTGCTTGGAGCATGAGTAGGAGTGCTTCTAATTATGCAAATGCCAACCTTCAAAAAGCTGATCTTCGCATAGAAACAATGAAGTGCTCCATTCACACCTGAGCATGAGCTTACCTATGCGATTTAGAGGCTTTTTTGAATGCAGTTTTCATCCTCTTGCAAGTGACACAAAACTCAGGTGTAAACAAGCTCATTGAGAATAATGGGACTCTTCATCTTGAGCGTTGTAGTGCTTTGCAGCAACGATTATGCTTTCTCAGATGACAGGGTGAAGTTTTGCTTCAACAAAGAGAGTAGTTTAGGTGGGCGGAGGCTTAACAGTTGGATTTTGATAGTTAAGACCAGGCTAAGGAGAAGTAAGGAACATTGCTTTTGAGCTCCATGTGTTAGGGGAACTATGCCACTCTGTAGGCCAGACTCTAAGCATCCTCTGCCCTGGGATGGATGCAAGATACAGCAGAGGACGACTGAGAAAAAAAAGTGTGTGTGTATAGGTGCCTTAGGCAGCTGAGTTCTTTATGTAGGCCTAGGGGGTACTAAGTAAAGAATCAGTGTTATTTAGCATTGAGAGTATGATATCCCACCTCAAGTAGGCCTTCTGTATGGCAGATGATCTGATTCTTGTGAAGGTGCTGAAAGGATATTGTAGGAGCAGTAAGCTCCTTGACCCCCAATAAATGACAGAAATATGTGAGATTAAGTGTACTGGTGAGGTAACGGTGTTAGTGTTGACACCTAACTGGAGAATGCACATCTGGAGGAACACAAGTACACCAACAGAATTGAACCTCAGTGGTGGTCAACTTGCTTGATTTTGGGTTCCTCAAATGCAGCCCCTTACATCAACAAAGGGCCACAAATCATATTCATTGAAGGTAATCCTACAGAAAGTTGCCAGAGATGACAGTCATGCAGCAGTAGATGGCCAGAGACTATGGGCATACTACAAATGATAAGAGACTGCAGTTATGTTGTAGGAGTAGTTGGAGACTGTGGACTTGCTCCAACCAGACCAGTAAGATTACATTAGACTGCTAAAGATCACTGCTATTACAGCCTCAGTACAAATCAATGTTCCCACATCTGTACTCCCTACAGCCCCCTTAAAAAATACCTGTGCACATTTAAAATGTATCTCAGCAAGATCTATTCTAAAAGATCAGAGGACAAAAATGAAAAGTGAAAAGGGATATACAGCTCAGAAAAACCCATGAAAGTATGAAATAATTAAACCAGACCATTTAACAACTATCATTCTAAAGAATGGCTTCACTGTCTTGAGTAAGAAGGGGTCCAAGGGCTGCACAACAGGTCCCAAAAGGGATGTTCCAACCATGACTAGGGGAAGCATCCTGGCCAAGGAAACACTGGTGTAAGTGACCCTAGAAGAGTAAGAGGAGGGAGCACCGCAGTGGGGAAGCTAGACATTTTGTCACCTGGGGCAAAAGGCCAGAGTTGCTTCCCCCCCCCAAGGGAGAAGTTCTTCATCCACACAACCAGTGGCGCCCCTTCTAAAGCTGCACCCGGGACACATACCCCCCACCCTAGCTTCGGCCCTGGAGCACAGTGAGTCCCAGAAGTAAGGTAAAAGTGTCTCTTCTAAATGCTACATTTGTCGATAAATAAGGTGAAGTAATGAAGTCATTGCCCTGCCTGGTGTGACACCAATGGGGACCTCCTATCCCTGTCATATATATCAATGTTACACACACACACACTATGTGAATGTAATCTGCTTGATGGCAATTATTTAAATTGAGGGTTATTATTAGAATAATTATTATTAATGATAATTTTTACAAGCCTTGTATACAATGTGTAAATATACAGACATATGGGAACAGCCAGATGTTGTCAATTCATATGTAGGCTCTACATCCTGGTTAGTATTGTGGTACAATGCCTATGCTTCACTTGAGCGGTCTCTCAGTGATAGTCTATAGGGTTGATTCACCAAAGGGAGTAGGAAATGTTTATAACCTTGAATAATGTGAAGCTGAGCCATCGCCCAGCCATGCGCAAGGCAGAATTCCAGAGCATGTGATTGGGTAAACAAAGTGAACAACATTTACTTTATTCACTAAAGCAAAGGACTATGCTTTACTCTTTTAGTAAATGAACCAATATGAGTGGATCCCAGCCTGGCTGAAAACTCTTTACAGGTACCCATAGAAGACAGTCTCCCAATATGACCATTCTGCTCAGGTGTTTGCTCTGAGCCGGTATGCCACCCCATTGTTTGAGAGAACAGTTGACCAGGCAGTTAAGACAACCTACATGGATCACTATTGTCTCCTGCAGCAAGCTGGCACCAGTTTTACTTTATAGCTGCCAAGTGGCCTGGTTCCTGTTGCTGCCATGGAAACCAACCCTATGGAGTTAATTTTGCTCCGATTGACTAATGATAAGGGACTAGTTTTATTTCACCAACACTAAGGATTGCACTTATTTTAATACAGTGACATGAAGGTATTTAAGTATTTAAAAAAACTTACAGGCTGCAGTGATCAATGAGGGATGGATTTAAGCAAGAAAAAAACATATGCTGTACATCTCTGTAATGCACACGTCTACATCTTGTTGTCGGCTGACAATGTAAATACTGGAAGGTCCACAGCCCAACCACAGTTACACATTAAATAGAACCAATTGTGACTAGACTTGAGCAGTAATCTAAATGTTCATAATCTAGAATAAAAGGTGATCTTACTTTTAACTGTTTGTGTTTCTCCTCCAGTTGTCAGATTTCCTGCCTCCGGGAGTTTTTACTGTTGTGGCCTCTGTGGTTCTGGCACTCTTTTTTGCTGTGTGTGCTGGCCTGTGCATATTCATTGTTGTAGCTAGCATGAGGTCAAACCAAGGAACTTACAGCCCAAGCAGACAGGAGAAAGAAGGATCACGAGTAGAGATGTGGAATATTGTTCAGCCGCCTCATTTGGAGAGGCTCATCTAATAAGGACTCTCCTTTCTAGCAGTGCAGCTCTAGAAGCACCACCAAGCCATCTGCAGCATACTCCGTGAACAGATGTACCTGGGACTTTCATCACTTAGACTGTGGACATTATGCTACACCATGCTACCAAATAATGCACTCCTACATCAGATATAAAACAAAGGACTATAGATTCAACAATTTCTAAAGATACAACATACCCATAAATGTTGTGTGAGATTCCTGCACCAGCCATCAGCTAACAGGGAAAATATGGATCAGATGGGTTAAAAACCTTTCACAGTCTATTGTTTTTCTATAATGAGCTGAAGCTGGGCACATGCACTTCTTCCCCTCTTTATAGGGATGCCAAACAGATACAGTTGACAAAGTGTTTTGATCATTTGCTCTATTTGATCATTTGATCATTTGATCATTGCTCTATTTCAAACATCCTTCTAGTGTCTATTGTTTGTTTTGAGCTTTATTAACTTAACCTTAACATCTATAATGTACAAAATCTGTAGCAATAAAACCGGAAACCATCCAACCTGCTGGACAATGTGGACTGACGCCTATGGCAGCTGATGAAATTGTTCATAAAAGCAGAGCCAATCGTTTCATGTACAAGCCTATTGAAGAGGGAAAACACCAATAAGATCTGAAATCTGTTTAATTTAGGCAGCTACACGTCACCGTCAATATCTACCATTCTTTCATGGGCAAATATTGAATCTCTTGTCTTTAAAAGAGGTATACCTGGCTATGGGCAGCATTGAAAGACTTGAGATGTCTATAGATATCAGATAATAGTCTTCTGATATGGCCTTCGATAATGTAATGTTTATGTGGGAGCATCAGGCAACAATCTACCTAGGAGAATACAGTCAGACATGATATAAACCTTACCCAATTGTTATTGCTTTCCCCAAGATAACTCAGCATTGGTACTGTCTGGGACTGCCTCCTCATAACTGTAGCGATGGCCCCCACAGGAGCCTGCTGGTAAATTTTGGGTTCTCCTACCTGCAGTTACCTGCCCTGTTTCCAGATCCAGCAACACCAACAACTTCAGGTTATGATCAGACTCAAATCTCAGGGGCTTTTTACAATGTATTGCTGAATACAAAACTCAGGTGAGATGCTTTAGGGATGCAGGATATCCAAAAGCAGGAAATAATGGAGGACAGGGTTTTCTGAAATAGCAGCAACAGATCCTATGGGAATGACGTCCAGAAATGGATGCTGATAGAAAGAGGGCAGACAGGTAAATCTATGACCCTGAAAGAGAGAGTGGTCAAAGTCTTTTTCATGCACCAGCTGGCTTCAGTTCCCTCTGTAAGATACCTGGATCTGTGGGCAAAGAATCCTTCTTAAAATGTCCAGACGCCAGCTTCTATCCAGCTCAGCTGTGACACTCTTCAGCTGGAAACAGGTACATGAATTTGGTTCAAGCCCCACCATTTGTAGTGTGGAGGAGCACTGAGGCCGGAGTGTCCATACCGGACACTCTGTCCTCAGTGCAGCTCAGTAATACTGAGCCTGATAAAATCACAGGCTCAGTGTTACTGAGCTCTCCACCATTGCCACTTATACAGAGGACTTATATGATGAGTGGGCCGAGCCTGATGCTGAGGTACTGGTTCCCCATCAGGTCCGATCTGATGCTGATTGACAGCAGGCACATTCTATAGCCAATAGCAGGCTGGCTATTGGCTATAGAAGTTCCCTACTGCCTGCTTTCATTCAGCAGCAGAGCAGACCTGATGGGGAACTAGTACCTCAGCATCCTCATTAGGCTCCATCCACTTGTAGCATCACCAGTTGTCAAAGACACCGTTGGTTACAGAAACTAGTGACAGGGCTTTTTTAAATTTGGCACTGGACCATTTAAAGTTCCATACTGCCGGAAAAGTGGAGGTAAACCTTTATTGAAATTCCCCCATTGTGCTTGAATTCCCCCATTTCTCATCTCAGAAAGTTGGGAGTATGCTATCCGGAGGTATACATGAATAGAAGCACATCCTGCCTAGTCCTGCTCCTGATCACTGGTGAGGGAGAGCATCATAAGGGGGGCCAAATCTAGGAAGAACTGCCCAGTGATAGCCTTTGCTTCTGATACTATAGTGACAGCATTGCAGCCATACAGAATTGACAACAAAGTGGGTCTAGACAAAACAGCTGCCACATGCGTACCGTCAGTGCATTATCATTGAGCCTGCATTCACACCTAATGTCAGCGTTTTTGAGTGTTTTCCCCTGGTGGATATTGCTTGTATTTGCACATTTTTATGTGCGTCTTGCTGGCAGATTGCAAGACATTGCTGTCAATGGGGGAACGCGCATAACAACACAAAAATATGTAAAATGCTTGTGCCGTGCGTTTTTCAGGTTTTTCCATTGAAGTCTATGGGGCCAAATGCATTGCAAAACACCCCACAGGAGCTCAGGATTTTTTTCCAGCAAAAGGCGTTTTGCAGTTTGCTTAGGTGTGAATCGGGGCCATTGACATCAATGGAAATTCATGTGCTGAGCGTTTTGTTGCGCGTGTTTGTGCGCAACAACACGCCTAGGTGTGAATGGGGCTTACAACTGACTTGTTTTGCACAAACTGCATCTAAAATATATTCCATGTACCTCACTCCTCCACTCTGAGGAAGGGCCATGGCCCCACAACATATGGGTACTGTGGAGGTAGCATTAGAACCAGGATACCACTCTGGTCCCCCCTTCTTTTTATTAGCCGGCTTGGGACAGTATGGCAGTGTCGCCCCTATCAAGTTTTTCCAGCATTTTCCCATCTGTTTGGCATGTGCCCTCCCTTACTGTCGGCTTTTCAGACAGAGTGCATTTATGGCCACTGTCCTGGTTCCTCTTGGGAGGAGTTTCCTGGTGATATGCCCTGATAAAGTCACTTTATTTTAAGTGCATTTTACCATTTTATATTATTAACACATTCTACCTGCACTATCCAGCGAGCTCTCTTCTGTTTGGATTTATAATCTAACGAGATGATATTTTAGACTTTTTCTGGTTTCTTTTACGTGATTCTATTGGTGCCTTGACTGAAAAAAACAGGAAGTCTGTATAAATCATGGTATATATAAAAGGTTTTTTTGTATAGGTACATGGAAGGAAATCTGCAAAACATTTTGTAGAAGTTTTCTTGTAAAACAGGGGAAGGCAACCTCACCTCTCCAGCTGTTGTAGTGTGAACTACAAGTCCTATGAGGTGTTGCAAGACTCTTGACAGCCACAGGCATGACTCTCAGAGGCACAGGGATAAAGGGTTTTGTAGTTTCACCACAGCTGGAGTGCCAAGGTTGCCTACCTTTGTTGTAGGATATTTGAAGATGTGTGTTATATGCCAGTTAGAAGGAAAGACTTCTGTAAAAGTATTATTGTATGACATACTTCTTAAATCTAAGCAGTGGCGTAACAACCGGGGGGGCAGCAGGGGCGCGGGCCCCGGGCGAAAAGGGAAGGGGGGGCGCCGGCCGAAAATGGCACTTTCGGCTAAATGCCGAAAGTGACATTTTCCTGCCGTTTTGTCGGAGCGGCCGTGATTCCTTT